CCCTGCGCCCCTGGGGGAGGAGGTGGAGATATCGGGAGCAGAGCTGAGCCCGGGAAGAAGGGAGGGGTGGGGGGAAGGTGTTCTCAAGATGTGGCAGTGCTTCTCACTGTCCTACTCTGTTAGGTGTTGTTAGTGTCGGTAATAAATGTATGGTTTTTTTCTTCCCCTAACAAGCCTGCCTTTTGCTCGTGCCCATAAAGGGGGATTTTTTCCCCATCCCAGTCCTATCTCGAACCCCAAGCCTGGCTCTCTGTCCCTTCTCATTGCCAGAAGAGAAGGGAGAGAGAGTGGCTGCATGGTGGTTGGCTGCCGACCAGGCTCAAACCACAACTATGTGTATGCACAAGTGTATGCCCTCGAAAACACCCACTATCTGACTGTGGAAGCAAAGGATTTTCCAAAGAATCTGCAGAATGGAACTGCAGTTCCTCATGAGACAGGCGGCCGGATGGTGTTTCTATTACACTGGCACAGAACTGGAGTACAGCCGTGGCCAAACCTTGCCAAATGTTCAGAAGCTAACATTAATATTTCATTGAATAACACCAGATGCATGTTTTCATCTAAGCCTTAGCTTTATTATGATTTAAAACAAATCTTGTCTCTCCCCTTTTGGTTTTTGTGCCTTCTTTGGTTTACTTCCCAGTTGTTTTGCAACTCCTTGACCCCCATTTTCATTATCTGTTCCCTGTCAGCTCAATCTCTCTTTCAGAACCGAACAACTGGAATTCCTGTTCCAGGGCAATCTGAAACGGGTTTCTCCAGGAGAGCAAAGTAAATGAGTTTTTAAGTACCCAGAAAGATAGAAATTGAGAATTTTGTTTAGAGATCTTTGAAGCAGTCCATGGCCCGCAAAAGTAGCAGATGTGCTGAGGAGAAGACCACAAATGGCAAAGAAGCCAGCGAGGAGCTGTGCGGCTGCATTGCTGCTACAGGGCGAGGCAGGGCTCCTGCAGCTTCGCAGGGTCTCTGCAGCAGGAGCTGCCGGGGGCTGTCTGCACCTTCTGCTGTGGAAGTGCACACCGCAAGGCAGGACAAAAGGGAAAAAAAAAAAAAAAAAAACCACCACATTTTGCACAGGGCTGATAGTTCAGCCCCGTTGGCTACCAAGACTAAGGCCTCACGTTTCCTCTTAAAGCCATTTCATTTTTCAGCTCGCTGTTGCTGCCTCCTAGTTTCAGCACGCGAAGGGTTTTCTTTTCAGTGTCTTACAGACACTGGGGTAAGAACATACCTGGGTTTTCCCCACTAAAAGGAACAAGATGAAAAGAACACAGTTCTTGAAACAAGGAGCAAGGGCTGGCAAGCGGCTGAAAACCGTGTGTGGGCTGGTAATTGCATGGGAGTTACTTTTATATTATGCGACAGGCTTGCCCAAAAAAGACAGCAAGGTGCCATAAAGGGGGTGCTGTGGGTCAAAACAGATTGGTAGGTGTAAAAGGCTGCAGCTGTCCTTCCGAGCAGAGCGGGACAGCAGTTGGTGTCCTGCTAATTTGTACAGGTGGTGGCTAGGGCTAGTCACACAACTCCATGTTGCTGACGCTGCTTGTTATACTGCGGTTACACATACAGGCTGGGACTTCACTGTCCCAGAAAAAACCTTCACGTATGAAACAAAGTGCCAGCCTGTCCCCTGACAGTCAAAGGTTTATTCTATTTTCTCTATCACAGGGTGTCCTTGCTGCTTGTACTGCCTCTGTTTGTCTGAATGATGCATTGATTCCGGTGAGCAGCATCCGTAACGGGCGACACAAGTAACCTTGGGTAGATGGCTTTCTTCTTGCCAGTACTGCCCCCTTTGCGACTGGGAGACGGGAATGCACCTCCTCCGACAGAACTGGTTGCAGTCAGCACGAGCTGGGGCTTATTTGGTTCTTCCGCAGTTACTGTCCGGCCTCACCAATGCCAACACACCACGGTGTGAGCAATGCAATTTCTGAGAGAGAAGGAAGACCAGCTGTGTCCTGAGAGGAAGTGTTAGTATGAAAGGAAACAATGAGCAACCGGTGCTGGGAAAGCATAAACTGCAGTCATTCTTTTGGCTAGGACCTCGTGACTGCACACTTCAATACTGAGAATCTTATTTCAACAATATATACTCTTTCCTCTCGCTCCTTCCCCACATCATTTTAAACAAACAATTCCTGTTGGTATAGAGACCAACAGATTCACACAAGCATCAACTTTAGGAAGTGTTGAAGCTAGATAAAATACTACTGTTTCTACTGTGCCCTTTCTTGTGATGTGGCACATCAAGATCTCTTCCAGTTTCTGATATTCACAAAAGGTGAAAATATAATATCCCTGAGTTCTCTACCATCCATCAACTTTGACTGAAGCCGTACTATCTCTCCAAAATGAAAAGAGACAGGTTAAGGATGGGCTGGGCTCACCAACCTCTGCTAACTAGAGAACTCAGAAGAACTCAAGCTTGTTCTAACTGACCAACTTGTGGTGCTCTTTTCCAGGCAAAGTCCTCAGTAGAAGTTTCTCCCACTAAAAGACTTAAGAATTTGCTGTGCTGGTTTTGAACTTTGTAAGAAAATTGATTTTTCCATTCAACCCCCCTATATAGCTATATAACAAACCTAAGATTTGCTTCCCTGACTGACGTGCCAGTAACAAACAATGAATACAAACAGGATGATCTCTTGACTTCGCTCCATTTTCAGTCTGTCAGTGGCTGAAATAACAAACCTAAGAGTAAACAAAACAGTAAATCTCTCTCTGCTATTAGACAGGTTCTCATCTATTGATAAATCTACATAATCTTCCTTGCTCTAGGCAGCAATCTAGGCATTGCAGCTGTATCCTCATAAAATCTAAGGAGGAAAGGATTTTTCGAGGCGTCTACTGTAGTAATTCAAACTAGATTTACTGAAGCCTTTATCATGGCTTTTTTTTTTTTTTTTTTTCCCAACACAAGTTACAGAAAGAAATTTGGAATTTAGGAAAGCAATTTTCTGTTAAAGAAATTCTAATGTAAAAAATCCGATGTTAACTAAGAAAAAAAAAAAACGTATTTTCAAATTCTAACAGCTGGTCTTAGTAAAATGGCAAGTGAAACATCAACTCAAAAAATCCTCAAAGAAAAACAGTGCCCTAACACTTACAGAAAGCCTGAAGTCTGTGATATTACAGACAGAAACATCAGCTGATGTTTGTACACAACATCTTGTCATCCAGGAATTGATTATTGTTCCCAGAGCCTGTAAAAACATACATCAGTGAACATAGAGAGTCAAATTCTCAGTTCATTTAAGCCTCAGCTATCCTCAGCTCAGTAGAGCAATGTTGATTTACCTCAAACGAGGGTTTACACATAGCAATTTCTAGTATTCCCCTTGGTACAGAGTACGCAAAGACACAAATTCACAAGTATATAGCAGAATTTGGTATCTGGCCAGCTTTAATTCCATTTAAAAACCTCAGAGTAACTCTACAAATTCTTACACATCCACTGCACTAGAGGGGGTCCAAGTTAAAAATCAACAAATTGAGCATGGAGAGCAATGTTTGTAAGATGAAAGGAATGTAACAGAGGCATTTAAAAAAAAAAAAATAAAAATAAGCCAAGATGTATCAGTTACTATGCAGAACAAGCTTTGCTCAGCTGTCAGTGTTTTCCCTCACGCTATGGTGGTTTGAATCATTTTGCAGTAAGCAAAATGGCTTTAAAATAGAGATTACTGTAAATGAACAGACAACTGAGCTTAAACACAAATTGGATGCAGGGTCTGCCTGAGCCAAGTTTACCTTACGCTTCTGCAGGGGAGAACAGCCGGTTTTGTCTGGGTAGCACTGACCACGCTGTGGGTACTTGGCATGTTATTAGCTCAAGGGGCAGTCACGAGAAATTCATTTCTCTGTAAGAGAAGTTCCTACTGCCCTGGGTGTTCATGATTGGGGAACCAGTGAGCATCCCTTGTCATCTTCCTCTCTCTTTTATAATTATGAAAAAAGTGTAACTGCTGCTGTAAACCACTATTTTCCCAGCAACTTGAACTGAATGCTGGTTATTTCAGGTACCAGTTAAAGCATATTAGATCTCTATGAACTTAATCATCAATGACATGATTCCGGCTGACATGATGAGGAAGTTCCAAAGTTCTTAACCCAATACTGGACCAAAATGATTAGATTTCAGAAATGAGGAGCTGATTCTTGCCCACTATGAAAGCTGCTTTTCTTTCAGCCTCTATCCTTATTCTGCCATGTACAACAGCTGAGGATATTTTGCATGGTAACAGCTTTATTGATCCAATTTTCCCAGCTCTTCCTGGAACCTCCTGCTTCCTCCCACCAAATCTTGGTACACACTGAGCCTGGGAAGTGGTGCATAACTGCAGTCAGGAATTACAGGTTGGCCAGGAATTACACTCACTGTACTCCCACATTTTTCAAGATCCTAATCCATCCGTATTGCATCTTGCACACAAATGGTGGGACCGTGAGACATAGCTGAGTTCTGACTGGCAGAGCTGTCTTGAACCACCACCTCTGAGGGAGAAAACACCACACTGATAAAATTTCCTTCCAGTTACTTATTTTGTCCAGTATATACCATGTTTCCTTGTTTTTAAAAGTTGTTTTATAGAGAACACGTGGTTTGTGGTCTCTACATTCATGCTAATGCATAACATTTTTGCTGCACATCTGTCTACTAAAAATTGCTTTTAAGAATCAACTTCCAGCTATAAATGATTTCCATCAGCTTACCCCTTTCCCTGCCCCAGTGTCTGGCATAATAGCCCTGCGACAGTGCTGTACAGCTCAGGCAGGTAACTGGTAAACAACTGGAACGTTGCATAACTAACTACCAGACAGATTGTAAGAGTGATAAATAAGGCTTCTAGCAGATGGAAGCTCTTTCATACTTGCCATTTTGGCAAGTGTAAAAAGCACAGATCACTACAGGAGCTAGACTTATTTCAGCTGTCAGTAACAACCTTTAAAGAAAGATGCTTACAACCCCTGGGAAAAAGTCAGGGTGCTCTATGACCTTTTGGCAAGTATGATTTATTAACATCCAACTAAATTGGTTACAGAGACAAAAGTAAATCAAAACTGCGCATCAAGGTGCTCCAACTTTATTACAAATTTTTGGAGTAAGTGAAGCAGAAAACAGGGATGATCCTGACTACAGAAAGTTCTCTCAAAACTCTGAAAGTCTGTGATAATTCTAACAAATACAATACCTTTCTTCAGTCTGAAATCACTAATGCCCTATCAAAGCAAACAACAAATTCAGCATTTAGCAGCTTTGCCTATTTAATACCTCATACATGTGGTATGTTTTTCCAATATTGGAACTAGTAAAATACCATTAACATAAATACAAGACTGCCTGATTCTCAGGGACACCAACCATCTCACAGGTGCGGAGCTAAAGGAGCTCATTACCTCTTGTGGATCAACCTCCCAAACATTCTCATAAGCTTTAATACAGTTTTGGTTTATACAACAAACACACCAAATCCACAACTTATATAAAAACCGAACCGCTTAAAATATTTTTTTTAACATATGGCAACTATTTTTGTGGAAAGTTTCTCTTATTGCTTTCAAAAGCTGCAGCAAGAACAATATCTAAGAACTGAGCGGTAGAAGAATACATTTGGTGATAAGTTACAGCATTTCCTAAGTTTCAACAGATAAGCCAGATAGCATGTGCAGTTTCTTATGAACCCACAGCTGCTGGAATAAGTTGCACCCACCAGTAGCTAGAAAATATAAAGGATGAGTTAGCGAATACTGTGAATTTTATTTATAGTAGGCATAATCTATGAATGAAAACACACTCAACCCAAAAAACCCTTTAACTTTACTCCTTTGAATAGCACCATCTGACTCTAGCCCTTGTAAGATGTATTCAGTTAGGTGGAGAAGCTGGATTTCATCCTTCTCTCTATTATATATGCACTGTGGGCCAAGATTTGCACTCCTCTTCAGCTTGCCCCTTCTGTAGGAGTTGTACACAAGAAAAAGCTGTATTGAACAAAAGAAGACGTGCTGAGAGTTTCCTGCTCTGCGAAGTTGATCACCTAGAGTGATATAACAGAAGAGATTTGCACAAAAGCAGATGCAAGTGCATTAATTAGGAGCATGCCGAGCAGACGTAGGTGTACACTTCTGTTGTGTGCCACCCTTACCAGGCTGTGGTCTGACTCCAGAGTGCAAGTGGGAATGAAGTCCTGTTCACAGTCGAGGAGAAGATGCAGAAGTAGGCCACAATGTTTATGGGGAAAGTCTTTAACTACAGCTTTTAGGCACAACTTGTCATTTAAAAACTTGCTAGAATGGGCTGTTTTCCTACTCTTCAGAAATCTTTTTAATAAAGAGGAAATAGGACACTGAATAGGGACTTTTAGATATGAGGGGCCACATAGAAAACTATACAGGACTGTAAACACCTGAGAGAAAATTAGGGGCATGGGAAGGGATAAGGTTTTCGTTAGGCTGTTTTTGTTGTGTTGTTTGGTTGTGAGTTTTTTTTTGTTGTTGTTGTTGTTTTTGTTTGTTTGTTTTTGTTTGTTTTTTTTTTTTTTTTTTTTTTTTGAGACCACTACTGGACCTTTGTGCCAGCCCAAAGCTGTCCCTGGCTGTATGTTCTGGCCCCATGAATTTGTGTTCTTTTCTGTACAGTGATTTGGCTTCAACACTAAACTGCGAAATAATAAGGTGATCATGTTTGCAACCACCACCTCCTTCAGGGGCCAGGTTTTTAAATAAACCAACAATCCTGCTTTAGGTCCTTCAAAAATGTGATGGTAGAAGAACAGATCTCTAGGATGTTTCCTTCTCAAAATTTTGGCTCTTTTCACTCCTCCTTCTATGCATATATTTTTCCTAGCTCCGTATAAAGACCCTAAGTACTTTGCTGGATCTGTATTTGAAAAAGCATCTAAAAGTAGATCAGTGCTGGCACACTAACCCATAAAGCATATCTCAGAGAGCAGAATACATTGATTAATGGCACACTCCAGTTCCACTCAGTCTAAAGGGCACTTTTTGCTATCAAGAGTAGTCTCCTAAGCAAGTTACGCTGTTTCATAATCCCAGACTTACACTGCACCAAAATCAGAAATTATCAAATCTGCAAATCTGGAAGTAGAGCTGTGGGTTTCTGTTTCTATGAATGCTATTTCCCCGGAATTTGTTTCTTTCCTGTGTAATTTGAAAACTGAGCCAGTGTTTTAACACCCAGAGGCCTGAGCTGCTCCATCATCTTGATGTAAGTTTATAGTGAATGTTTTATTTTGTAAAGGGATACACAAAGAAAGGCAGTGGTAGAGGAGTGCTTCTCAAACTGTTCTCCAAAATCATATTAAGTAATGTTTATAAAGTCACCAAAAAAGAGCGCTGTAACAGCAGGCAGTGCCCATCAGAAAATTTTAAGACTGATCCATTGGGCTAAATATCTTGGGGATAACTGCTGTGTATAAAAGAAAGCAATAAGTTGCCTGATAGGTCCTTTTTACCATTCTGGGTAGAAATGGGGGACGAAGTCCCTCAATATCAGTTATTAAAAATAACAGCTGTCTTAGTTATATTGCAGAAAGCTAAGGTAAGTTTTGCACCCATTAACACATCTGAAGTTTTGGGGAAGAGCATTAGCAAAATTTCATACTATACCAAGAATAACTCTATGGAGTATATTAAGGTTTGTGAATGATGAATATATTTTTATGCAGAAATACACAGAAGTAACATCAAGACATTTTTCTTCCATTTCTTAATACACCGTTGACAGAAGTTTAACAGCTAAACCCAACTGTTGCGTACAAAAGTAAGCAGGGACAACTATACTGCAGTTGGAAACATGGAGTCAGAGGATCATTCACAACTGGTTAAACTGTGTTTGCAGATGTGTATCTGAGATTTACACAAAAGGAGCCATTACTTGTGCGATGATTTTGCTTCATGTACTTAAGAAATGCCCTGGATTATTTTCAGGCATTATTTTTCTGGAAATTATATTAAAATTCCGAAGTCTGCCTTCTCATTAACAGGAATTTTGCTGAAGAAAATTTTATATAAGGCACTACTCAGCCCAGTGCTTCTTGTCATTAACCAAATGTATTTTAGACATTTTAGATTGCAAGATACAAAGTGACACTGCCAGTCTGATTTCTCAAAAGTCATGACTCAAACACCCAATATGAGATTAGTTTTGTTTAAGACCTGCTGATTTTAATGCATTACAATTCTTTAACTTTGCCTTTTGGCCTCTAATCCTTTAATTTCAGATGCTATCAACTATTAAGTCATATGAGAAAGCATGGAGAAATCCCCTCCATACCTAGAAAATACAAAACCAGCAATCAGATCAGACAGCAATCACAGTAGCTGCCAAATATGATGATGAGCAAATTTAATGCATCCTCCACAAATTTTGCTCCCTTTCTTAAACGATTTTTTAAAATTTTATTTCCCCTGCCCTCTTTTGCTGTTAAATAAATGTTATTTTTAGTATAGATAGTAATTACCATCAGCAAGGATAATTACAAATATCAACACATTTCTGTGCCAAGTTTTGACAGTTGATACGAGAATAAAACACGGGAAGGGAACAAGCCATGAAGAGATCCTCACTTTCCTTGAAAAGCCAAACAGCCCCCAAGGGTTAAGACTTCCTTTGGAATTAAAGCCCAGATTTTGTCTTCATATTGAAATGAATCTCGCCTTGTTGTAAGCTGCTGGCATGGTAGTCAAGTCTTTAAAAGACATATTAAATGGAAAGAATTATGCAAACTTCTTTGGTAGTACAGTACAGAAATGATAGTGAGGCAGAGTTCCTGGGCAAAGTGAAAAATGGTGAAAAAGCATCTTCCTCTACGACAATGGGACTTCAAGGTAACAGAAAGCAAAATTCAAATACACATCTAATCTGACATCACACGTTTGGTTTACAATGGAAGCGTTCATAGTATTTCCTTCATGATACATGGATCCATTTTTAATGGGTTTTCTGTAGAACAATGCAACACACAGTAAAGTGCAAGCTCTTCTAAGCTACTAGTCCCCCAGGAGACTTCCTTAACCATGCCATGTCACATTGTTCCAGTCATAAACCACTTTAACATGCCAACAACATTTGGGTTTGTTTTGTGTCATTACAGTGGCGTGTAAGAAAAACAAAAGGGGGTGGGGGTGATGACAGGATATAGCTCTATAACTTGGGAACTGCATTGCCAAAGAGTCACAGACACATAGAACAGACTTGAAGAATTACGGGTCAGGCTTGAGTTGCAGATAGGTAAGAATGCAAATTATTCTGTAATGACTGTGGCATTGTGATTTGATGGAAAAAAAAAAAACAAACAAACAAAAAAAAAAACCAAAAAAACCCCAAAATACTGCCCAACTCTATAATCTTCATTCAAAAGTGCGTCTTCTGCTACATTTGGTTCCTGCTAAATTTCTGACCTATGATTTAGTAGTTTTACAAATCTAGCCATATGTATAAAATTACAGGAAAGGGATGCAACTGATTTAGTGCAAGACACTTGAATATTTTATCTGAACGTAACAAACAAACATAGGAAGATCAAAGACTCCACACACGTCTCCATAAGGCAGATGGTAATATTTTAAATATAAGATCTTAAATACGCTGTTTATTTCTTAAGAGGTAGAAAATATCAAAATACTAAGAAAAAATTTCTAGCTTAAAACAATCAGTTTGCTTACTTTTTAAAAAGTCTTACTGTTGCAATTTTTAGATTAATAAAAACAAATGAAGCTATGGAAGCACAGGATTTCGTGCTCTGTATAGATTTTACTTACTGAAAAAAAAAGAGAGAGCTTCTTCATCTAGTCAGTGCTCAAGCAGTATATACAAAGGATCTACTCCTCTTGCCCTGTTGGGGGGCTATAAATCTGAAGTGGAAATTTTTTGCAGTGGAAAATTTTGGCGATTCCTGAATTCCTAGCACTACATTTAGCTCAGTACAATTTACGTATAAGGCAGTAGAACCATTGATGTAAGCTCAGAACTACCTCTTCCATAATGCTAAGAAGAAAGCCAATAGAAACAAAAGCTTATTTAGATCTTTTCCAGAGGCAGCAGCAGATCATACTCAAGATTCCAGCACCAGCTGATATTCTGTTTTAGCCATTTATACCAGCCCAGAGACAGCAGAACTACTCATTGAGCCGTGGAAGCCAGCTTACAGTTTGAGTTACTAAGGCTTGCACTCTGATCTCTCAGCACAGCTAGGAGATGCTGATGCTACTGTCTCCAATGCAATTCAATAAGGCATGAGTTAACTCAGAACTGACATTATTACACATTGGAAAAGTAGTGTAAAAGCTCCTCTCTTCCCTCTCACTGTTAACGTTCAGTACTATTTATTAAACATTTTATAAAAAGAAATGAGGGTATTTATACATTCAAACAATCACTGCAATAGTCAATAATAAAGGAAACGAATTATCAGATTCTAAATTAAGCACAATTCTGGAGATATGCACACTTGCACACATACACACACACCACACATATATTATATGTGTGCGTGGGGTTGTTTTTTTTATATATATATATATATATATAGGCATATATATAGATATATTTTATATATACTTCTTTTAAATCAGATCTGGGAATACAGCAGAGAGTATCTTCACTTAGCTCCTCTTTCACCAGAGGACAGGGTTGTCCAGTTTGGAAAAGCCAGGTTCTTTTCTAAGGTCCATGTAGGTTCCATTGCTCACCCAGGAGTCATCACTGGATTTCCTATCAAAGATGAAACAAGCGCCTTCAACGTAAAGCTTATTTTTTCCATACACATGCTATGTAAACGCAATGTAGCGCTACGTACAGATACCCAGTCCAGCCCATGAACCAGGTGTAGTGCAACTCGGTACAGCCTTCAAACAAGACAATACAGTGTGGAGAGCTGAACTGGTGTATGCCTGCACCGGGCCTCGGAGACGCACCTCAGTAGCCTAGTGCTCAGCAGAGATCAAGGCTCTTATATTTCACTGTCACATGCCAGTGCTTAGCACTTAAAACTACAGTCCAGGTTTATTTCATGGTCTCAAAGGCAGCTTTGAGTGGAAAGTGGAAACTTTACTTTTACTTCTCCAAAGATGGCTCACCTCGGTTACTGCATAAAGAAGGCCTCTAGCTTTCAGTCAAGAGGTGAGACTCATTGCACTAGGTACCATACCCTGAAGGAATCAGTCTGCTTTTAATCTGGTGTGCAACATTTTTTGCACAACAGCTAATTATTCTTTGAAGTAAATCAAGGCTTGTGATTTGCTGAAGACAGAAATCACTACTGAAAAGCCAAATGCGTAATTCATATCTACTCTAACACTGGGTAACACTTCTGCTATATAGTTATTAAATTCTTTATTCTGTTGTTTAAAACTACAGCACGAATCTCCATTTTCAAATCCTCGTCCTTCCTCACAATTCTCAGTATGCATGTATAATTACGAAGTATTAGACTTTGCCTCTATCCTGCTGGAAGCAACGTTTGCTTCTCTTTAGTAGGTGTGATTGACATGCGATGAGTTAGTTCACCAGCTTGTCAGACATGTAGTGGTCTGAGCCATTTCCTTTCTGCATCTATTTGCACCTATTTTAAATGCTTTTTGTGTTACTCAGAAGTACAGTACCTATCTATCCAGAAAAAAATTAGGATCCCAGATCTGTTAAATGTGATACATACACCCATACAACATTCACCTCGGCTCCAGCTCTTTCACTGCAGCAGAACAGAGAATCTGGAGGGTAAAAGGCCATGCCCTCGTTAGCATTCATTTTTGTCTTTCAATGGCTGAAGTCGCCTGTTAATTGATTTACAACAGGAAGAAACAAAGCGCCCTCTGAATGATAATTCTCCCCCCATAAAATAGGGGAAACATGCTCAAAAATAGCCCTGGAGATAAAAGGGCCCAACTCTGCCCACTTCTGCACAAGGCAATCCCCCTGAATTCAGCAGAAATTCAGCGGAAGTAATTAAGCTAAATCCAGCTACTTCACCTTGCTTGAAAGAATCAAAGATGCTACATTCCCTCAGGAAAATTCAAATGTAGACTAAATATGAAACAGCACCAAGGCAAAAAATGAGAAAGAAATTCAGGGATGAACTAATGAAAAAGCAACATATAATTCTGAGTTTTAACTAAGTCTGGAGTGTTCTACACAAGTACAAAAATCAGAAATATAGAAGAAATCTGGAAAAAACTGGAGCCTGTTTTATGGCAATTTAGAACCAAATTTACAGTAAGAATTTAAGTAAATGATAGTATATGGTAATTATTATACAGTACCTGAAAAATCTAGGCTGATGCTCTAGATTGTTTTCTTCCAGCACCTTCCGTCGTTCTCTCTGTAGCTGCTCGATCCTCTGCTTTTGCATTTCAGCTCCTTCAATATTCCCTTCTTCTAGAAACCTGCAGTACCAGCAGTGGTAAGACACACAATTGGTGCTCCCGTCCCCCACCTTTGCCAGGTCCTCTAGAGCTCCAGAATCTGATCTTTATAGCAGGCGGTTCACAGTGTTTGAAAGGTAAACAGCTACCTCTGTAGACAACTGCACCATCCAAAAGCACTTAACAAAAGAAGCTCGGAGTCATGGTTATATTACATTCTTTTAGTTGGAAGTTAGCAACAGTAGAAATTCCACTGCAGGAAGAAATTTCAAGTGTCTCAGTTTCTGGCTATCAAGCACAGTACGCTCTACATCCAGTATCTGAAGTACTGAAGTTTAATATCTTTGGAAAGGCAGCTATCTAGAAACATCCAAGAGCCAGTTTTAGAAAACACTGGTCCATAATGACTAGACCATCTCCTGATAAGTGATTAAAATGTCCGTTTCAGATGCACATTAACGTTGAAACAGAAACACACTGCAGGTATGTACACAAAGTAGTCTGAGCTTAGGGTAAAGTGCACGTACAGAAGATTAAGAACTATTTAAGGAAGATATTTAAGAGTTAAAACTTCTTACCTTTGGTCTGGCCTAAAACGTGTATCAGTGGATGGGAGTAGTGACTTAGTTTGCACATCCAGTTCATTTAACTCCAGTGCAAATTGAGTAAATCCATACCACTGTTCATAATCTTTAGGCATAGGATCTACAAAACAAAAGAGTACATTCAGAATTTCAGTTAAATGCTATTATTTTTAGAAGGAAAATTCCAAGCTCCCCTCAGTCAGTAGTTCATCTCTGAACCACAGTCTCAATTCGGGGGGAGTAAGAGGTTTTTAATAACATGACAAAAGACCACATTCCCCTTGATAACTGCACTGCTACAAAACAGATTTCTGTTCTCTCAGCTGAATCAGAGCACAGCTGTGAGGAATGCCGTGCTATTATCATAGTGCTTTTTCAAACTACAGTAGACAAAACCCCACAAGTTTGGGAAAATTCGGATATGGCTGTCATTACAGAATTATGCTTTGTGGGCTATCTTCCAATGTTTAATGTGTGAAATACACAACACTTCTTTACATAAAAAGTGGGGGGTTTTGTTCCTTTTCCACACACCCCCCCTTCCTTTTAGTCCTCAATACCTACTTCATGCCCAGATATGAAAATGAAGGAGAAAGGAGAAGATACAGGAAGCCATGGGATTAAGTTCTCAATGTTATTTAAGTTAAATGATGTATTCTTCTGGTCTAAATTTTAAATGCTGGACAAAAATCTAATATTCCACATAGAAATAATAAGTTTGGGCCTGATAAAGAGATAAAAACAGTAAGCTTATTCTTAAGCACATCTTAAATTTTGTATGTTGGCCATTCTGATCACTAACTTGCTCTCCATATACAGTTTGAAGATGAAGTCATCCCACAGTATAAGCTGTCATGCCACTTCCCAAATAGTCGATGCACAACTTTCCCGGTTTTATCCATGACACTGCCTTCAATCTCATGTGCATTTGGATTCCAGTACTTTGCCTAGAATTAAAAGGGACAAGGGGTAAAAAGGTGCATAGGAGATCAAGTGTGATTTTACTGCATCAGTGGCACCGTGCTGTAGAGTGGTTTTCTGAAATGAAAACTGCTCTCTTAGGTGTCCATTACAATATTATATGCAAGCAACTGGTGTTAGTGCTATTAGTTGACTTAATAAAACATAGACTCTGAGAACAGTATTTATTTTGTTTGCCTTTTTTAGGAACAGTACTAGGTGATACATAGCTGACTTAGAATTCTGCCCAGTGACAAAACTGGACAGCTGTAATGCTGACTCCTGACTGACTTGTCTACATCTTCCCCAGATTTTCAGAAGAGGAGGAGAAGGAACTGATACAGTAATCTCCACATTAGACAATTTACAATATCAAAAGTGTAAGATTTGCAGGCTCTCAGTCTTTAAAATCGGAACTCTAAACATCCACTGAAACTCTGTAAATACATTACAGTATTTCAAATAAGTATTTGGAAAAAAAAAAATCATGCTAATGCTTCTTAGAAAGCACAAAGTATCTAGGAAAATAAATGAGAAAAGGAAACTTCCCTTCTGCTGCTGAGCATGCCATGCTGCATAGCTATGCTGTAGTACTTAGCTTCTATCTGTATGGTCTGTTTCTATGCAAAGCACAGCCTTTCTCCAGCAATCAGATACAGAAAATGCAAGTTAAGACAAGTCTCCTAGCATGCTTTGCAAAACTATTTCTCAGGTTAGAAATTTTGTCATTGTTTTAGGTTCTCATTGATTTTCCTTTACTAGGAAGAAGTCATCTATTGCCGAAAACTAATTTTAATTTCAGTTATAAGGGCATTTCCTGAGGAAGTCATACCCTGCTGCCTTATACTAAAGCAAAAGCTTTCAGTAACACCACCCCTCACTGAAACTCCTCCAGGTACCTGTGGAGGGCTACAAAAGAGCATTGGGTGAAGCACCCTGCTTGAGCAACTACAGCTGTGGAACGAACGCAACTACAGCACGTGCCAGTGGGTCAGCAGGAGGCATGTGTGGTTAACCACTATCAGCAGACACCTCCTGACTACCTCTCGCATCAAACCCAGAGTAGGTTTTTCATTGTATTTCTTCCTTTCCTTTCCTCATACTTTTTTTTGCATCTCCAGTGGAAATCACCTGAGAAAGCCGTTACTTCTTTCTTGTCTGGCTCTACCTAGTGAGTGGCAGTTCCTTCAGAGTTAAAGTTTCTCAAAGAATCACACGTAATTAAAGCAGAATTATAGGAGAATACAGCTGATAAGCAGTCGTACTGAGCTTCAGCAGAGAGCACCCACCCACTGCTGTGTCTGTCAGAAAAGGCACTGCCAACACTGCTGTGGTTACTGCTGTGGTTACCTTTATGAAAGTCAGTTTGCAGTAGCAAGTGTCATCGTTAAGGTTTTTGATGATAATCTCTCCATAGTGTTCAATCCATCTTTGCCCACTTAAGATGTTATGGATGCAAGAGGTCACCTTGTTCCATGCAAAATGGTCTTTAAAACTGTAAGAAAAATACACAAAAGAAAAACCTCATGCCGTGTTGAAACGAGCTCATAACATGAAAAAAAAAATTGCAGAGAACTCTATTAGAAAACCCCCACAAAACAACTTCTTTTGTCTGGGATGCCTCATCTTCTTGTCCCATACCTTCTCGAAAACAAACCCTATGACAACAATCCTGTCTCACAGAAAACCCTTTTCACTTCTGCTATTAACTTTGGTTTTGAATTCAGTTTTCTCTCAGTTTACGTGTCCCTCTTTACCAATTTTAAGTTTCCAAAAGTAATAGCTCTAATATCCTCTACTGGCTGAAATGCCCATTTCACAGCTTGTAACACAGTGATAACTGAAAACACAAGGACACGGGCCACTGGAGTCATCAAAAGACTTATTGAGTGGCATGAGCTTGGATCAAGCTCTCAAGGCTGAGCCTATGTGTGTGCTCCAGGCAAGAGCAAAAGTTCTCACCAGGCAGTTCCAGATGCAGTTGCACACTGGAAGACAGCAGACAGGGAGAGGTGAAGACATACCAGTAGGCAATACGACATTTTACCTTTTATTAAAGAAGTAGATATTCTTACAAAACAGCTTTATAAAACCTCAAGAAAATCTCATGAAGACATATATTCTACAGTTTGTTCTAGGTACTGAACAAGTCGCTACTGGTAAGGCAAAGGCTAAATGTACAAAGCACCAGTTTCCCCCCCTAAGCAACTGCCTTGCACATATCCCCTGGGGATGTTAGAATCTTTCCTTACCTGCCCTCAATCACTTGCTTTCACTTGCTGCATTGCAAGAGTGTGCACAAGGACAGTTTTTACAGACTAGTAGATGTGTGGCCAATTTACCCCACAGCAACTTGTCTTCCTGCCCCTACCTGCAGGTCACATGCTTTATCATGCATACTAAAAATACTGTATTTGCTCCAAAAATAACCTTAATACTAATGCTTCATTTTTTTCCTATAGCCTCAGTACTTTTTTGGTACCCAATTCTATACCAGATACACAGAGATATAAATCAGCACATCGAGACCACATACAAAGCATATTATTTTACAGTTCATCAGCCCAACATGGGCCCTAATCTATTAATTACCTTGCCTTCTGAACCGTCACTCACATCCTAAAGACCTTTCACTCCCCAGCTTAGGTTAGCTGCTATGAACATAACATGGTTTTTGGATGCTATCTTACTATATCACAGTTTTACCCACTTAAAAGAAAACAGCATGCTTAGTTGCTTAGTCTGATGAGTGCTGGATTCTTGAATTATTTTTCTTTTTTTTTTTTTTTTCTCAGATGGCAGAATAATTAATTTTGTAGACTGTCTTTGGAAAACAGATTTAACTGCAACACCACTCAACCTTTAGATCTCTGGTTCTGCAAACCTAATGGATATAGGCCAAATTTTACAGGATCTTAATTGTTGATCTATAATGGGCAATCCAACAAGCCAGCATAGGAATGATACAGCTTTTTGGTTTGTTTTTTTTTTTTTTAAATTAAACTATGCTCAACACTTAACTACAGTTAAGTGGCCACTTACCTCCTTGGATAATAAACACCAGATATGCCAACTGGTTCTATTTATCACTTACAATAATTATTTATGCAGTGATGATCAGCCTCACCGAACCCATATTCAAGCAAAAGAATTCACAGCTCCTCTACCATGCAGTTTTTCCCTGTGAGTTGAATTTCAAGCTTCATAAATTTTAAACTGAAGTATGAAAGTACCAACTTTGCTTTTTTCCAGATACAGAGAAGTGATGTTTTTTGTTTCATATTTTGTTTTTTAAAACCTTTGGAAGAGTTAGTGCTTCTAGTTTATGCTTCTGGTTTTGGTTTGGCAGGGTGTTTTTTTTTTTTTTTTTTTTTTTTTTTTTCCCCTCATCTCTTTCTTTTAAAACTAAATCATAATCACCAATTCTTCCAAAGGCCTAATACAGCACAGCACAGCTTGTTCTCATCTGGATAAATGTGGCTCCAGTGTGTGCAAGCATGTCTGTGTCTGTGTGTGAACAGCAATGCACGGCTGCAGCACTTACGCTGGAATAGTTACATGTGTTGTACCAACTGGAACAATTTCCATCGACTTCCCCCAGAATTTGTTTTTCCATCTTACATCTGAAACAGGATGAGGAAAAAAACAAAGACAGGTTTAGTCACAGGCACAAGTGAATCAATCTATTTCTGGGTTCTACTTTATTTTCGAGAAATGCAAAATAACAAAGTGCAACATAATAAAAACATTCAAAGAATGCTGTGGACCTTTGAACATGGTTTAGGACTTTCTTTTTTCATTACATTATTGGTTATTTAAATACCAAAGTAACAGAGGTTTAGAAGTCCTCTCAAAATCTTTTTTGAAGGAGAGAAATTTGAATAAGCTACAGACAGCATATGTTTCCCTGCAATTCAGCTGCTAGTGAATGAATGCAGACATTTCCAAAAACAAAAGCAAAATTTCAATTACAAAAATGTAGCAACTAATAACATCCACAGTGAAGAAGCAAGAGAATGTTTCAAAGCGCACAAAATTGCAGAGGGATTTAGTCTAACTTCCTCCGTAAGTTTAACTGGCCTTTTAAAATCTTGTCTGAATCACAGAAAGACGTGTGCAAGTCTCGCGCCATTTCTCAAAAAAAAGATGAGAAATCTCAATGCAAATTTAGCCAAATCTATTGAGAAAACACACCTGGAAGAGAAAGAAACATAGACAGAGAAGCATGGCAGAAGGGTATAGGGTTAAATTGGACTAGATAATCAGGAGGTAACTTTCATAGTAACTTCAGAGCTGAGGAGAATAGTATCCTTGCTGTAATAGACACCAGGAACTCCATTCCCTGCCCAATCTGAAAAAAAAGGGAAAAATTCATCTCTAGTCTCAGAAAGATGCTAGTACTAACACAAGGAAAAACAAAGCACTGTTTCCTGTGCAGTTGGGGGGGGAAGCTGTTGTTCTGGCTGTGAGATAAGGTCCTCAAACTGTAGTTAGAAGATTGTATCTCTCCCAAGTGTGTATGTGCAAGTGATAGCACATACAGAATGAGCCACACCAAGCTGCCTACAATTGCAAAAGCTGGAATGGGACGTAGGGCAGAACTCCTCATGGAAAAAATGATCCTTTTCTTACCAATGGAGAGACAGAACTTTCAGCTTTTTTTGGTTTTGAAGTCTGATGCTTGGTCAGCATCTTTAGTGGCAGCAATTCTGTTGTGATTCCTATACTGCACAATGAGAGGTCCAAAACTACCTTGAGCATGATGATGTTGAGCTGAATTCTGCACTAGCTTTCTGTCTTCTGCAATGGGATGGAAGAGAAAGGGCAAAGGCACACCCTGCTGAGTTTAACAGTTAAAATGTATTATCAGACTGTGTTATGTTCTATGTTCTCATAAACGGCAAAGCTGTCCCACAGAGATTAGTACATGGGAAACATCTTGGGAACCAGCGTGCAACTTGATCATGCAAGAATTTTAGGACAGCAAAGAAAAGCAAAGTGTTATTTCAAAGATGTGCTCAGACTAACTCAGGCACAGATGCTGTAATAGCAGGAACTTTCTATTTTGCGTTTCCATTGTTCATGTGTCCACACTCCTTTGCAAAACCAGAGTCAGCTTCATTAGTCAGGGAAAGCGATTTCCAAAATAAAAAAAAAATAACTGTCCCTTTTAGAACTAAGTCTTCTGGCTCACTGGAGATGATCAAGAGATTTTTTGATGTTGAAACAGATGAACTAAAGTCAGTGGTGGGATGACAGCACTACTCTAGCACCGTTGCTGAGGGCTGTCTCCTTTTCAGCTGAGGAGATAATATGGTAAGTGAAGAGATCTTTGCACATAGAAAGAACTTACCTCATTGACAAGTTACCTTTACGATTAACTTAATGTTAATCTTTCCATGTAAGTTAATATGGCCTCATAACAAGAGGCCTCAGTATTTACAAACTGCCTTTGCATTGGAAAAAATAATTGTCTAGATCTCCCGTAAGCTCAGCTAGCCACATTTAAAACCAAACCAAACCAAACCCCCAAACCCCTGCTGTACACTGATTGAGTCTCCTGTGCTCATCAAGACCAAATCTCAGACTCTCTCACTGATCAAGTTCTCAGCTCTCAACTTTACAGAATAGCTTTGTTCTCTGAATGCAAGTGTTAAAATATCTGAGTAACAATCATCATCAAGATCTGTTAAACAAATCAGACTCATCAGTTTTTATTAAGATACCTAATCTGCTATCTAGTCTTGTTTATACGGTTTTCAGTTACTGAAGAAATGTCTGGTCACCTCTGCTTTTTTGTCTAAGAACAACAGTACTCTCGTCCCTGTATTTGTTTACAAAGCAAAGAATTATATTGAATAATGAAACCCAGACTAATGACAGAGTTCCAATTTCTGTTCAGCATGGCTCCATCCATAATAACTATAATCAAGTCAGCAGAGTCAATCATAATAGAATTAAAGGTTATAGTATGGCTACATTGTGAATTGACAAACCTCTGGGTGAAGAGTTTTAACTGAGTTAAAAGGCATAGTTATGTTCTGCGTACACTCCAAAAATATCCAACCACACAGGTACTGTGACTGGCTGACATCCTCACCAGCATTACACAGCAAACAAAGCTCCAACACACTTCTTTTGAAACACAATGTTACTAGTCGAATAGCATTAAATCTTACATACTGTAATAATGCCAGCAAAGAAATACAAGGTAAATATATTTATCCTTGCTATTATGCTCGTTTTTGGAAATTATTCTCAGAACAGGTTTACAAGATCTGACAAGGCTCAGGATTTAACTTGTAGTTTTTCAAGCTGTGCTCTTGCTTGTTTGTTTCATAAATAGCTTGAGGTACAACTCTTTAGTAAAGAGCCACCCCCTAAAACAAATCTGATTTTAAAGAAATTCAAATATTTGTACACACACACAAAAAATCAACTAATATTATTTAAAAAAAAAAAAAAAACAAAAACAAACAACAACTTAAAGCATTTTTATAATGGCAGAACATCCAAGTAAGAAGCATGCGAGTTAAGTATAGGCTAGCATTTCTTAAAGCCATTCTAATATGATTTAAGCAGGGAATTTCACCTTTTCCTAATTTCTGGATATTTCATGTTAGACATATAATGAAAATATTATGAACACTGTAAAAGTAAATGATAGACTGAAGAGTTACCTTGCCAAAAAGCAAAATTCACAGATTCAGCATGGCATGCAGAAATAGGTGGATGGTGACTGACCTAATAGAAAGACATGAAAGGGGAAGAAAAAAGATGGACATATTAACACTTGAACAGTCATTTTGGTTTGGGTTCTTTCCCTTTCCCCTTCATTTTTCATTAATATATAGCATTTACAATTTGAACTTTTACTTTCCTTTTGCAGTTGTGTCCTAAAGGGGGAGTCAGTGAGATTAATAAGGTACCAACACCAAAGAAGCCTTGAAAGAAATGAGAAGCATTTATTTTAAAAGGCATGTAAATTTTGTTCATCAAATGAAAATCTAACTATGTATTTTGTATGTTGCCTCTAAGGTGATAATTATATTTACCCTTAGGACCTTTCTATATATTAACAGAAGCTACACTTTGAGCACACAGACAAAAATAAAAAAAAACAAAGGGCCAAATTCTCTGGAATAGTAAATACCCACAAACCCCTGACTATGAGAAAGGAGACAATGATCAGCACCTCTGAGGGGAACACGGGTGGAGAAATCAAGCCATGAAATTCCATCTAGCAACCCCTACAACTGCGCTAGTGACACCCCAGGTGTTTCTAAGCGTGAAACTCAAACGACAAGCACTGCATTTTACCAGCTGTGTGTAACAGCACATACATGAATTAGGGCAACCACCAAAATAGCAAAGCAAGGATTGTGAGTAAATAAACGAATAGACAATGTAGACTATTAAAAGGAAATAGTAAACAATAAAGGAACTGCACAAAGTGAAAGCAGCTGCTCATCCTTGGCATTCTTCCTTCTGGGTGAACATGACTAACAGCTGAGCAGGACCAACTCTGATGTGTAATGCCTACTGTTCTTTTGACAAGGCAACTTTATTTTCAAGTCAAATTGCTATTTCCCACTATGAATTTAATTTCTTAACCACCTAAATGGCTCAAATGCAGTCTTACTTTCTTCTTTGTTACTCATTTTGCAAATCTGTTATCAAGCATTTTTTTTCTGCAGGCATCCAGTTATTTACTGAACATCCTCTACTTGGTTTTTTAAAAAAAAAAAAAAAAAAAAAGAGGAAAAGTATTAATTCCTCTCAGATATGGCCTAATCCACCAAAAGCAACACACTCTCTCACATATTGCACCCATATTAACCCCAGATGTCACTGTAATTCATGCATTAATCTTAGTTCTAACTTGACCTGTCCAGACTGAGTTTATGGTGCTAAGTGGAGTTATTCTAAACTCACTCTAGGAGAACAAAATTTCTTATTTTATACATTTTGCTTATCTATTTCATGGATTACATAATATCTGCACTAACAAGTTATCTAGAGTAAGCATTAAAATGCTTGCACAAGCAATAAGCAACAGCTCCTGATGCAAAGAGAAATAATCAATGCTTGCAAGCTGCATGAAATTTCTTTCCTCCTATACTGCCCTCCCTTCCTAATATTCCTCAACCCCATGCTATTACAGTAACTTTATCACTCTATAAACTCACGTCACTTATTACACATATTAGAACAATAGTTGTTAACAGCACAGCCCGCTCACGTGTAAAAGTTCTTCTTTAGAAAAAGTAGCCTCTATACTGATTTTTCTAATATTCAGGGGAAAATCTCTTCCTTTAATTCAAGCTAACATTAAGCTCAGTATCAGCCTTTATTCACCACTTCGTTACTCCAATGTGATGCTACACTGGCAACTGCAGTGCTCTATATACATTGTTTTAGAACTGAAGTACCACAATGAAGAAACAGATACATTACTTGAACTTTAAATTTGATTCTTGCTTTGACTGTCTTGTCTTTTTTTTTTTCCCCCCTTATTTTTACTCTTGCCTGTGACATTTCCTGAGACTATGGAAAGATCACATAGCACTCCTTTTTGTCAGTTCTAAAACATAATGTACAAAACGTTGTATCTTCAGAGGTGGTCAAACACACTTTTCATTTCCTAAAGGAAGTCTCTTAGAAGGCTTTCTCTGATCAAATTTCTAGGTTGCACACCCTTGCCCACTGCACTTTTTGTAATTATCCTTTTTGTTATGTCTAGACACAACAAGACAGCGTTCAATCTTTCTTACTCTGCTAGGCATCATATTATTTAAGTTTTATCTCTTTTTAACATACGTCTCAGGCTTAGCAATTTTGGTAACTTGGCTAGTTAAAATATAGTATTTTTCACTCATACTTAATAATTATCCTCTTTTGGGGAATTATTTTCATAAACACTCAGACCTTGATGTGTTGTACACATCCTTCACCTACTAAGCTGTGGTACCAGATTTGAAAAGCTTAGCCTACAAAATATTTGGATAGGAAGCAGAAATATTCACGGTGCCATAGAAAATGCTAGTGGTTGATTGACTCATGCAAGGGATACGTTTGTTATAAAAGGTGACATTAAACAGCTACGGATACAGCATTTTTAATGATCACACACAAAGGAAGATGACAAGAATGAGAATGCTTCTTGCAGCCACGATCAGATTTCAGCATGGGGATTTGCACTCTACTTAACCAAGTATCTAGTTACTGGAGTAGGCAGCCTGTCAGCCTTTGCTTCTTGAGTGTCAGCTGTTGGTTGTCATGTTCCGTACCAGTTAGCAGACTTTCCTCAAAAAAACAATTTCCTTCATTTATAATTCCGCAATGTCCCTTGAGTTTTGGTGGGGTCAGGTTATATAAAGTAATTTTGTATTTTGCTATTAATACCAGAGGATTCCAGCCATGCATTTAGAATTAACCGGTGTATCAAGTAGCAAATCTAAGGGTTGCAGCATACAATACCTGTTCTGCAAAGAACTGGAAACCCTTATCTTCACGAATACATTCATAGGTTTCTCCAAGAACAGGATTAAATGGCTTGCTTCCAGCTCGGTAGTAACTGGATGCATACGCAGAGGCTGCAAATGCAGCTATATACACCTGGAAATAACGTAAGTGGAATTTTAATTAATTAATTTACCACAGCTGTGCACAATTTTGGCTATAAATTCTGATTTAACAGAAGGAAAAAAAAAAAAAAAAGTCTTATCCTGAAATCAGAGTCTGTATTTTTCCCATCATTTGCAGACTACAAACATGCACGCCTCTTGCAAACGAAGCACTAGCTCACACATTAGAGAATTACTCAGTTTTCAGAGAGTCATTCAATGGTTCAGGAATGGAATTATTAGAGTCAAACACTGCAAATTCCATCAAATGAAAACAGCATTTCTGAAAACTCTTTGAAGCAGCTTAGCATTCTGCAACACAGTTCAAAGCAGTAACCTTAAAAATCATTGTTAGATTTTGTATTGTAACTGGCTTTTGTAGTTATGGTCTGTGATTCTATGGATCTACCAACTATCCTTTTCCTAAACATGACACAAGAAGTACTGGATGAGTTTTTACAAAGTTTGCTATTTCTAATGGAGTTTAAATTGAATTGCCTTTTATCCACTGTGTGATATTACCTAATCATGAAACTGTTCTTGATTATGACTGAGACACAGGTAACTCTTCTAAATTTTTGCAGTCAACTCCAGCATAACTCCTCCTAAGCCCAAGGAAATGAAACTTGGGGTTGCTCGATTCAGGTCTCTCTTGTACCATTTTTCTCCCTTTTCATTCCCTTTTCCTCATCTTGGGAAAGTGTAGATGCTCTCCTTTCACAATTTCAGAAATTGAATCCACTTCAGAATGGCTCTTTTATGAACTATTGCAATTACTGTGCAACAGCTAGCATTAATTTTGCCTCGGGAATTTCTCAAAGGCAAAGAATACTGCATTCTGAGGTAATTTCCAGATGCTTGGGTGTGAGAAGGAGGGAAAAGGCTTCTTTTCACTCCCATTTGAACAACTACTCCTCATTTCCTTTCCCTTTTAACACATGTTTTCAAGGGAACCAAAAAAGCTATGCTCCAAAACCCCCAGTTAAGAGCCACACGCTCCAGCCTGAGAACAGACACTAAATCATGACCCTTGTGGAGTGTCAGAATGGAGCAAGAGGCATTTCAAATAGTGTTTAACACAACTATTTATATTAATTAATAACCTAATTTTAAGAGAAGCTATATTTATTTGAAAAGGCTTAATTCAGTTTAAGGGACAATCTATAGCTTCCATTTAAGATAATTTAGAAAGATAATTTAGAATTCCTTTATTTACGGGCTTACATATTTCGGATCTCTTGTGCACCTGGAAGCAGAACAACTTAAATGCATTTTTCTCTTGCTCTTTCGCCAAATGTTGAAATTCAGGGTTCTGCACTGGCAGAAGATGACACCATTATTATACCCAACATACATTCATATTGTTCAGTTTTGAGATCCCTGAGCATTTTGGATCAACCCCAAAACTTCACAAAACCAGTTAATAAAACAAATGGAGCTCATTTAATTAACATAAAGGTATAGTAGTGTAAGGCTGGAAGATCCAGAACGTTCTATACACAAATTATTACACCAGATAGACACCTAAAAGAAATACTGTAGCTTTCACACTCAAGAGGGAAGTATATTAGTTCAACCCCCCTCTCCTTCCTTTTTCCTGTAACTTTTTAATTTTACAGAGTAAGAGCTGCAAAACAGAACCAAACTACACTGTTTAACCTTGAAGGACAGCAAGGTACTTGATGCAACAGAAATTATGCAGAAGAGTCAAAAATAGTGGGTATGTAAGTATGTACAGACACGTTTAGAGAGTCTGCCTCTCTCAGCTGGGGGAAAAGAAAATGGAACAGAGTATCTTCATTTCTTTGGCAGATTATTTTTATATTTACTCTATTCTAATTATATTGAATGTTACTAAGTATTTGGAATAACGTATTTACCATCCGTTCAAATGGGTTAGGTGTATGCGCTGCTGTATCTAGTAGTTCACTGTACTCCAGCTCCTCACAGAGACGCTGAAGGGTGTTAAGTGGCTCATTTAATTCAACAGGCATGGCCACTTTGGAGAGATCCTTTCCTATGTTATTTCTCAGGATATTCCATAGGCTGATGTTACTCGTATTAGGACATGGAGCTGGTAAACATGTTCTCCGTTTAGAATTGCATCCAATTCCACTTTCAGAAATACAGTCTGAAAAAGAAGGCAGTGGCATCAACAATTCACTATTTAGTTTCAAACCCTTTGCAACCATACATTAAAATGTAACCCTATTTTTTCTGTCAAAAATTCCTTCCACCCTCACAATTAATTCAAGTATTTCACTTGTGGTTTGAAGGTAACCTGTTATAAAAACAGTAAAATTAAGGTTTTGATTTCTGTATGGTAACTGAGGTAAATGCCAAAAACAAAAGATGCATAAGAGATGACCTTCCTTTCCCTTAAAGGCTGTAAGAAAGGCTGAAGCTTTCCACTGAATTTGAAAGAGTAAATATTATAACTATTTTATTTGTAATATAGATGGATTCCTATCTGTTTAAAGAACATAAAACCTCCCCTCCTTGATAGGGCTTCAATTAAGTGGACACTTCTCAGAAGGCAAGGCATAACTTACAGATCCAAGCATAATAACAACTCCTACTTATCTTTTCCCACTTTTTTTGAATACTCCCAACAGGGAAACTTACCGCACCACAGATTTACATGCAGGCTTTTCCACAGTGCTCCTCACAGTACTTAGCATTTAAAAAAATTTAGCGGTGGTAGCTTTTAGTTATACCCATGGGTTGTTGGAGAAATGGCCTGTTTTAAAGGTGGAAAAGCTGAAGCAACTGTGGAGCTATGGATTTGCTGAAGATAACAAAATAAAAAAAGACTCACGTCTCATCAGTCTCATTTCAGAGGGGAATATGGTTGCCGCATGAACATCTTTAATCTTTACATGTCCTTAGAAGCACCTAGGAAGCTCCTGCCCCAGGATCAGTTACCATTTGGAGATGTTCAGGTATAGCCACAGTCTGTCAAACCCCTGTCCTCACCTGGCTTTCTTCACACAGCTTTGTCTTGGAGGAATTAAGACAGCACCGGGCAGCACATCTTCCCTGTGATGCACATGTCCAAAGAATCACTGCCCTTAAATGCAAGATTTCAGCCAGTATTTCCTCTGCTGGTCCACTGACATAAGCCATGGTATCAGCAGTACTTCCCACAGTGACAAAGTACAGAAAACCACAAGGGCTAACTTCTCCATCACTGCCACGTATGCTAGCCCGTGCCTCAGGTGGAGGTTTTTTAAGTGTAATCAGCAGCCTCAAAGTTATAAGGAAGAACTTTCCATCTTCCCTGCCACTCACAAACTAGAAGTCCTAATATCTCATATGACCGAGTTACTGTAACAAGGATAGGCAAACTATTTGCAGCCTACTGCCTCTCTTTTTTTTTTTTGAATAGAAATGGCATAGGCACTATAAATCAAAAAAAAAAAAAAATCTATCTGAAACGATAGAGTTAAGAGGTTGGCTCCTATACTTCCCTCTGGGAAGAATTTTAGTATTAGAAGAGGCCAAAAAGAAGGATGTTCCTTTAGATACGTCAGGAATGAGGGGATATCTGGAGAGGAAGAAGGTATAATGTAAAAATTTTATCCTTGTTCAAAAGAGCTCTCTGAAATGGTATTTGGCTATGTCCTTTGACAGCTTCTGATGAAAAGCAGAATGCCAACTGACTAAACTACATATTCTGGACCAGCCCATTAATTGGGGTAAACTCGTGACAAAACAGAGTAGAGGAACAACTAAGATATTCAGATACCACATTTTCTATACAGTGAATTTTGACAACCCCGCCATGAAAAGAAAAGCACATACAGTTCTGGTTTGTAAGAGCTGTGACAAACGGCCAGTAACAATACTGAAAGAGATTAAGACATCTGATCTCCAGATAGACTCAATGACTTTTAAGGCCAGACTGGACTGTTATCATCATCTGGTCTGACCTTCTACATTACCGTTGCCAGAGGATTTTATCATAATCCCACAATTTATGGTTCAGCTAAAGTCCTGTAGGAAAAAGACATCCAGTTTGCTATTAAGGGGAGTGGCAGGCTGCCCAAAGCACAGAAATAGCAGGTACCAGACACATGTGGAAGTGCTGTTAATACAGAAGAGCCTCAGTGATAGTCTTTGTTACAAGAAGATGAACAACCACGCTAGTACAGTTTTCTAAGGTCCAGATCATGAGATAAATCAACCTTTATTCTTTCCCATTTAAAAAAAAAAAAAAAAAAAAATCTTCATTTTTAAACAGTTACAGAATATAACAGATCTCCAGGCATATCAGACTACCCAAGTTCACAGGGAACCACTAGTCCTTGGAGATGATCAGGAAACAGCTGCTAGTAAGAAACCACTGTTCAGCATTTCAAATATAAAAATATATTGACAGAGTGGGAAGAACATCATGGTTAGCTGAAAGGAGTTGAAGGCACAAAGCCAATTAGTTTGTTATGACCAATTTTTCTCCCTCTTTTTTTGATTCTATCTCTAATTAGAAAGACAGTTAAATAAACATATGTACTAACAAGACTATCATGATTAAATCATGCAAAAAAAGAAATCCTTATGGTCATATACCAGGCCTGCCAGTGTCCAATTATTCTCATGTTCCTTTAACCACTGAATTCTGCTAAAAACAACAGAACTCTGAATGCGCTTGTTAAATTGCAGACTGAAAACGGAGTGACAGAAGAAAATTAGATTTTGAAAAAAAGAAAGCAGCTAGGCCTTGCTACTTTGAAAAATTCTGTGGCCTTGAAAAGAAGTGAAAAGGAGTGGGAGTTGCACTGAAGAAGCCAAGAAAATAGGTGTTTCTCTGCCGATACAGAACCACCATCCTGTTTAATCAATGGTGCCTGGGCCCTGTTAAGCAGATTAGCCAAAATGAGCTCTTCAAAACCAATATGAGGCTGCAACAGGAAAAAAAACAGGCTGTTTACATCTCAAATTCTGTAATATAAAATTATTTCTAGTAAGACAAGAAAAAACAAACAAACAAACAAAACCAAACAAAAATCTCAAAAGATGTTATAATAAAACACTGAACTTACCTAAAGTTTGTCTTTCATTCTCCATGTCATTGCTTAGGTTATCTTCTGAGACATTATCACTGATATCACTTACATATGAGTCATCATCTGATACCTGAGTGTGGGGTGGGGAAACCAGCAAGGTACATCACTCGTTAAAATGACCCCATATGCACATGGAAATTGTTAATTTCTGCTGCATTTATTGTTTTGATAGATTTGAATTTTTTAAGCTGTGTTTCAGTATCACAGGAAAGTACTAACACGATGCAACTGAGTTTGGGAGAGATCATCACTGACAATTCATCTGTTCTTTTAGTGGAGACATGTTTCATCTTGGCTCCACAGCTGAGAAGGCTTTTCTCATATCAAAAGCCAAAGTTTTTACTGAGTCTGAGAGGTGACAAAATGAGCTAATGAGTTTCAATATGCATGGCACCAGCCCCAAGGTATCACAAGGACAGGTATAAATATATATATTTCTACGATACAATTTCTTAACCATCTGTATAACAACTCAAGGCAATACAATATATGCAGTATCTGTATACTAGCTACCTAACTGCCATTTGCCTCAATTTGCATAAGTCTTCACCATAATAATTGTTCCATTTACTGTGAAGAGACAATGACAACAAATACATGCAGCATATCAATTTCTAAATGTTTTGAAAATTTTCATTTTTTAGTGGTCATCTGATGTGCAATTAGCACTCAGACTGCACATCAAGTAGCAGATAAGAAACTACATCAGAATTATGTCAATCTTAATGCTCAGACCTCATTTTCTGAAGAGCTAGCAGACAGTAGGACTTCCTGTGCATCAAAAAATTCTGTGAGAGAGTCAGCTATAGACAGTCTGCTTTCATTGGAGACCTGGTGAACCAGACCTCTGCTTTCTTCTCTTGAATTTTCCTGTTTAAAAGAAATAAAAAGTTTTGAGAGAAGTACCATCAATAGCATTCATGCATGCAATTCCACAGTCACATAACTTCAAGGGCTGGAGAAGATTGCACATGGCCCTCTCCAATTTAGGGGTAGGTAGCATGTGTTTCAAAGAGGTATTTAAAACCGAAGTAAAACAGACCAAAAAGAAGAAGAAAAAAAGAAGGAAAAAAAATAAAAAAAAAAGCAATGCTTATTCAGTAAATCAGTTATGGCGCTGCATGTACTTCCTTAAAAAAAAAAAATGTAAAAAATTAAAAACGCTTTGGTATCTAAGTGATTTAGCCAGATATACACAAGTTAATCACCAAAAAATCCCCAAAAGAACATAACGCCCACGTCTTTACATTAAATCCTAGATTCACATTCCCTTCTGATTTTAGCAAGTGAATTAGTCTTTCCCTCCCAAGCCTTGCTTAATGCAAAGCCTGTGGTGTACTGGCATACAAAATTCAGAGGGACAGAGTTGCTTTCTATATAATACCAATGCTTTCCTTGCTCTCTTTCTTCACTAGAAAATTTTCTATGCTGTGCTCTTCTTCATATCCGCATCTGCGACAGCTCCATGTTAACCAAAACCAAGGTATTATCAAAGCCATGTAAGTGACATTGCTTTTGCTGCTGCAGGCACGTTTGACTGCCATGGAGATCTCTCTAAGTCCTCCCCCTGAAGCTCTACAGATGGCTGGCACAAGCAGAGTTCCAAAAGGTGACCTAGCAAAGGGGGGGTGACCAGTGAGACTTGGTTCACTCTGAAGATGGAGTGAAAAAGTTCGAGAACATTGAATATTATTTTCCCTGACAACTCCAACAATGCTAAGGAAAAGGGCTCACTCACCCAAAGGAGTGTATTAGTTGCTGTTGAGCGTTTCTGCATGAGATGCTTTATTAACTTGTAATCATGACTGCCCTGCCATAATTTTGCAGGAATTGGTACTGGTTTATTTTCAGAACAACATAATGAACAATCTGACAAGTCTATAATCAAACTGACAAAACTTCTTTCAAAGCTTTTCTACTGGTAGATTTTACTACAGTATGGAATGTTATTCAGTACATGTTGATGTGGTAACAAATCAAATGTTATCATACAAAAGACTTTTTTTTTTTTTAAAAAAAAAAAAAAAAACCACAAAATACTTTTAATGCAGCAGTAAGAAAAGAGGAAACCTCAACACTGTCTCTTCTGTAGGAAGGCAGTTACACTAGCCTGCAAGTTAAAAAAAAAAAAAAAAAAAAATCTTACACAAATGAGCATTGCTACTGGGATTGTTTCCAAAACTATTTTGAATCTGAGAAGGAAAGTGAGCAGGAAAGGCTCATAAAAGAACAGCAGGTTTTTATATCTATTACACGAGAGTTTCAGATTGTCTTCTTTCATGTTCCCACTCTGGCATGATAAACTACAACATAAACTGCCCAATATACAAACTAAATTTTTACCTTATGCAAAAGCTTGAGGTACTAGTTTATACTGCTTCCATTTTCACAGGTCTATCATAGCACCTGATGTATCATTTAGAACCAAGTTTTGTGCAGTGGTCCTGTCTTCCTCACAGCAGCACTACTGCATCATGGTCCCCAGACAAATCTAAAATGAAACTTCTCCAGTGTAAGTCATTTTATCCTTAAATTCCATCCTAAACCAGGCCAGAGGGAATTTGTGAATGAAACCTCTAAAGGACCATTTGAAAGCTATTTCTGCTGTGTGTGTATAGTGCCATAGAACAAGTTTCAGAAATAATCCATTGTCATTGCAAGGACCTCCACTCAGTAAGAAAATTAAGAACTTCTGAAATTAAAAACCAACGCATTAATGCTTGTCTGGATAGCAGCTTAAGTGCTGCTCAAATTCTCATAGGATTAAAAGCAAAAGACATTAGAATGATCAACTACCTTAAAGAAATAAAACCAAACACAACAGTTAAATATGACCAAAACACAGCTCTACTAAACCAGAAGTGAACAGAAGGAATGACTAAACTGTCTTTAAAAATAAAAGGAAGTAAGTTACATAAACCCCCCAGCATTACATCCACTCAAGTTCTAATGAAAGATTTATACTACAAGCACAGCAGAAGTTTCTGTATTAGTTAAAGAAAATCCATGAGAAATAACACAGTTCTTGCCTTCCTCACTAGCACCATTAACACCTGGATCCTACGACCTATAAATACACCGTATTCACATGCATTCTGCAGCAAGTCAAAAAACTGTATGAACATCAGTACATCTCAAACTGGCTAACTGTATATGTAGAAGGCTCTCTGGCTTCACACAAAGAAACCTAAATGGCTGAAAGGGCTCGTCTACGTCTCATTTCTTCGATCCTTTCATGGAATTATCTGGTGGTTGTTCTAAACCTTACATGAGCCACATCAGTAGCCAGCGTTCTGGGCTAACGATATTTATAGAGGCAACAGAAAGAACTACAGAACTTGAAAGTTAACAAGGGAACAGGGGGGAGAGAAACAGTAGCATGAGGGTAACAAGGTGGCAGCTCTGTTCATGCTGAATGGGAAGCACGACAGGAGGCAAGGGAGAACACCAGGAACCAGCAGCAAAAAGCAATGGAAGTGTGCTCAGGAAAACCATTCACAAGGAAAGTCTTTGAAATCAAATATTGCACAACACATCATCAGAAATGACTCATAACCATAGAAGCAGACTCGGTTTACTACCACAATACACCACAGGGAAGACATGAAGAACAGGACAAAATGCAGCTACGCAGCACAATCTAGATGTAGAGGCTTGAGGAACAGAGATCACTAAAAGAGGAAATCCATACCCACCTTCACCAAATCTGGACTTGATTTTGCATTAGATGCTGAATCAAGGATCATAGATTCGGCATGTATTCTGCGTAACCGGTCTTTAAGATCTGTGTTTTGTGCTATTGCCTGGAATATTTAACAAAAATATTGGGGATATAAAGTTCTCTCAACTATCTTGAACATGGCTTTGTCGTGTAAATAGGGGTGAAGAGTATTTAAAGTGCAGGATAAAACACCACCACCACATGATTTTTTTTACCAATTCAGCACATCTTTTATTATAAATGCTTCAAACCTTGTTCCTTATCTCTCAAATTAGAACTATTTTTGTTCAGTGTGAGGGAAAAGACACATAAACAGAGAAAAAAATCCCAACATGGCAAGGATATTTCAAGTTACCAGGTTTTGCAAGCTGATTTAATAGAAGCTATAAATTAATTTTGTGCATCTTTTTTCTTTTCAAGCTCCCTTCCTCCATCCCTATCTCCAACCTAGTGTCTCTCAATGTTAATTCTTACTCATGCCACATCCAAAAACATTTGATTTTCCCATCAGCCTGTATACTGACAGAGAAATAAGACTGAAATTCACATAGCTACAGGTACAATTTGTGTCCTGGTCCTGGTTTTGTCTGGGATAGAGCCAATTTTCCTTCTTAGTAGCTAGAATAGTGCTGTGTTTTGGATTCAATATGGGATTTGGTATGAGAAGAATGCTGATAATTCACTGATGTTTTCAGTTGTTGCTAAGAAATCAAGGACTTTTCAACTCCCCTTGACCCACTGCCGTGCAGGTGCACAAGAAGCTGTGAGGGAGCAAAGCCAGAGCACTGGACCCAAACTGGCCAATGGAATATTCCATATCACATAACATCATGCTCAGTTTATAGATGAGGGTGGGCAAAGGACCTGTCGCTCTTGCTCTCTTCAGGGATTGCAATTTCAGGATTTTTCTCTCCTCTGGGATCGCTAGCCAGGAACCGGCTGGGCATCGGTCAGCAGGTGGTAAGCAATCGCATTGTGCATTGCTCATTTGCATATCCTATTATTATTATTACCATTATGTATTTTATTTAAATTACATTGTTTTTATCTCAACCTATGAGTCTCCCTACCTTTACCCCTCCAATTCTCGCCCCCATCCCCTAGGGCAGGGGAGGGTGAGCGAGCGGCTGCGTGGTGTTTGGCTGCCAGCCAGGTTTAAACCACAGCAGTCCTACCAGTTTATAATGGCAAAGATGAGAATAAAAAGCCTCTATTGCAAACTCATGTTTGTTACATGTTACTCACTCATGTTGGGTGCATTTGATGGACAGATCTCAGTTAGAATAAACTTGCAGGAAGATAATGAAACCCTACCTTCAGTGAAAATATGTCTGGAAAAAAAGACTGAGTTATTAATTTTGGAACAATACTGGAGACTTACTGCCCATCTTAGTGATCTGAATCGATACTGAAATCGATCTGAAAGGATATGGAGAACACTGCTGTTTACACATCCGCTTTGCCCCACAAATGCTTCTGATTTCAACAGTAATTTTTGTTAGAAATAATCTTGAGGGCGGGAAAGACAGTAAGCTCAAAGTGATGATGGACAGGAGAAAGTAATTTCTGGCTTTACATATGTGTGGTCTGAATTCACCATACAGGCATGTATCACTTCTGTGTCAAGTGTGCAAGTGGACAGCACTGTGTTATACCCACAACATCTAATAAGTGCAAAAAAGGCTTTACACAGCTTTCCTGTAATTGCATCTTCCAATTTTTATTATTTGCTACAAAGTATTTTATTCCTTCTATTGTCTTCTTCCTCCCCCCCCCCCCCCCAAAAAATATTGTACTTATCCCCATTATGTATTTTCTTTTCTTAGACTGTGTGTAGGTCAAGTATACTATCTTAATGATGGAGAAGCAAAGGCAGAGATGCTAGTTTGGTGGTGTTTTATCCACTTTAAATCTGTTCACTTTTCTTGCTCTGCCAGGCTGATGAGAGCAAAACAGACTTATGTTTGATAGCTTTCAACCTGTGAGTCTGATTTTTTTTGTTCCTCATGTACAGAAAACAAACTGAAATGAACAACAAACACTAAGTCAAAGTTGTCAACACAGGACTCTTGCAAGGAAATCTTAGAAATATGTCAGGTTTATCATATCTGTGCTTCCATATGTCTTCAAAGGAAGTTTATTCCTTTCTCCCACAGGATCTGTGCTGTACGCGGTGAGAAAATTATTGTTGGCATCAGGGCCTTGCAGATCTGCAGGCTAAGAATAGCTCTCACAGGTGTTAACCTCTGCTGAAACTGCCAAAGTTCGCAGATGACTTCTGGATGGGCTACAAAAAGCTTAGTAAGTATCAGATAAGACCTAAAAGCACAACTTTTAAATGACGTTTAGAGGATGAAGATGGACAACGTGATTTCATTGCTCATTAAAAAAAAAAAATTATGCTGAGTGTTCACTGAGTTCAGAAATCTTATAATAGATTTTTTGATATAAAATGGTAGGCAAATAACCCTGGAAAAATAACAGTCACCTATTAAAATATCAGAAGTGGGACATCTGAAAGCCAAAAAGAAAGAATTGCAAGTAAGTATAGTTATTATGCAACACATTTCAGCTTTCTCTAAAACCTCTGAAGACATCACTGCCTCTAAAGGTCTAAAGGACAAAGAGGCATGTTGTATGCTTAAAAAACTAGAACCTTATGCATTTTTTGTAAAGCAAAGGGAAGTTTCCATACTGAAATAATTCTGAGATTATCTATATCACTTTTATCAATGCCAGAGTGTCTCACCTGCCTCTGATTATGAATTTGCAACAAACACTGAAATTCTCAGACTGTGGTAATAATGGCCCTCATTGCTCTGAAATCTGTTGAAATCAACAGTTCGGTCAACATGCTCAAATGTGACTAACCTGAAAGCTCTGGTTCTCAATCAATTACAAAAAGCACACCAACCAAAAACCTCAACCTTTTTAAAGAGTACAATCTTTTGTCATTTAGAACTCTGCCCTAACAGCTCCCTTGCTGCTTTTGGACACCTAACACATAATTAAGGTTGGAAGTCAATATAAGCAAGTTGTACCTGAATTTTCTTGGCAGTACAGCTGCATGGTGCAGCATGATGAAGTCCTAGTGCATTAGAAGGGACAGCTGAGTGCTTTCAGCCACTCTCACCTTTATTTTATGCCAAGTCATACAGTGAATACTTGAGTGCTGCTTAGGAGAAGAAAAGGAAACCCACAACCTAGTAGAACTGAGTGATTAAACAGTGTATGTTTTGAGAGAAAGTAGACTCATTGTCACAGAGCAGCCCTCTGATTCTTAACATCAAATGATACAGATTATACTATATACCTAAATCAATCTATCAAACTTCAGTTATTTCACTATACCTTTAACATTTAGGAAACAGTCTTTGAAAAACACCATATATAATAACTTACTATGATTCAATACTGCAAATTCTAGCACAGAGCATACACTACAGAAACAGCAATTAACTACTATAAAATGTAAAAGAAGTATCTGATGACAATGAAGCTTGCTGAACTTCAGCGTGTCACTTACGGATGTTAAGGCGTTCTTCAAGCCAACTATTTGTGCAGATGGAGATGAGGACGCATCATGCTCCAGCATCTGCTTCAGCTTTTCTCTCTCTGTAGATATGGTGCTGAAAGCTGACCTCAAGGTGAAGTAAACTAGAACCATTTCACAAACAGTGACAGTTAAAAACAGCTATCAATTGTATACATACCAATTATGCAAAACTTCAATGAAACATCACTTATGGTGACAGAAACAATAATTTAGGTTGAGAGATCCAGGGTGGGTTACTAAAAACAAGTAATATTAATCAAGGTTACAGGGTAGATTTTTTAGTAGGAGAAATGTTTACGGTGAATGCTACCATGTTGACTATATTAGCCACAGTCAAAATTACTCTGATTATTTGTGACAGATGGCAACAAAGCTAACTAACCACATCTGCTCTTCACTTGCTTTTGTTCCCCAATTAGCTTGAATCTTCAGATGGTCATGACTCTATTCCACTTTCCTTTAAGAATTCCAGTGGGGTAGAAGAAGAGAGGGAAGGAAGAAAAAAAAAAAAAAAAAAAAAATCAAAAAAGCAGCTATAACACATACTGTGCCACAGCTATAGGGTTAGTAGTCTCCCCACAAGTAAGTCAACCGTGGTGTTGAGCTTTGTTATCTCTTTTTGGGATAAAGAAAGTTCAGCTTGTTAGATGATTTAGTGGCTCAAAGGGTCGGGTGCTAAATGTTGTGCATCTTACACTGCTACTTCTACTCCTTTCTGAGCCGGTATCACCAGCCTGAAATGCTTAGATCAGACAATAGACCATGCAATTTTAAAATCACTAGATTTTTAAAGAGGAAATGCACTTTCCTTGTTTTTTTCTACTTTTAAGATATTTAATCTTTTCTTTAACCACAAGGAATAAAAATTCATTTGAGTAATATTTGTTGATGTAGGATTTCAACATTCATCTAACTGGAGAATTTGAGGATTTCCGAGGGCCTAATCAAGCTTTGGAATACAGTTATGAGAACTGTCAATGCAAAAATTTATGCATTTACAGGGAAAGGGAGATATAAAATCTGAGCACGGATGCATGGAAAGGGCAAAGAACAAGAAATCTCTGATACCTTGCCCCTAATCATCCACTCTGAGTTAACCTGAATCATCATCGCTTCACTGAGTATTTGTTGTAACTAATTTATTCTTCTAAGAAAATATTCCTAAAGTATGTTTCAACACTTTAAACCATTACCAAAGCTCATTCTTATATTTTAACCTATTTGAAGGAATCTTTAACAGTATCACAGGGGGTGGGGGAGGAAGATAAATCCACTGTGATCTATTTTGTTAGCTGTTCCTATGTGAATGACATGACCAGAATCTTCAGTGACCTTAAATGTAATTTAATTATACTAACTTAATGTTTCAAGAATTATTACATACTAAAGTACTAATGTTACATTGCATTTAATTTGTATCAAATGTTAAAGCAAAAGTTTTATTCACTACCCATTTTGGAAAGGGGTGTGATATAAAGCAACTTTGGAAAAAAATTCTCTGTACTCTTAATAAAATGAGACTGTATTAAATAGTACCAAGTAAATTGTTCCCTCAAATGCATGGGTCAATCTAACCAAAACTTCCAACACGGACATTTCAGGTAAGATGATCTTGAGTAGGTTATTTCTTTGCTTTGTATAATACCAACTTTTTCAACTGCACCCCACCCCCACTTCTCTCTTTGGAAAACATACATTAGTTTTAACTACAATTGATTTTATAAAGTTTGCTACTTAGATACATTCCTTACATAATGGAATCAAGATACATCAGCACCAGAGGGGAAAAACAAGCAAAGAATGCTTACTGATAACATCAACCATTATCTTGTGTAAGAGGGGACAAAGTCAATACTTCCAAAAGTCTTTCAGATATATATGCTTAAGTGCCTTCCTCACCAAGATCACTTAAACAGTAAAAATGCTTCTGGTGTGAGGGTGATAGAGCAAATCACTGCTAATGAAAAATTATTTTGAGAGAAGAAACATTTCTAGTCAAGCTGCCCCTATGGCTGCTTTACATGATTTTACTCTTCTGTATTCACTAAAAATAGGTTACTACCATAGCAACCCTTGCATCACCAACAAATGTTGACTCTGAAATACAGTGAAGCACACTGAATATACAAACATACATGTGCTCATATACACACACGTGTGCATGCAAACACAAGAGAGTAATCTGTCGTTGTGTTTATAGCAACTGATTTTAAGATTTTTACCTTTTGGCAAAAAAGTACAATCTAGATTTATAGCACATAAAACCAACGGCTGTCCTTTATTAAATAAATTTAAAATGTGATGATTAAGCCACTTTTTTCAAACTCAAGCTCTCAACATCTGCAACTCCTCAAGGGAATTAAAGGAAAGGAGGGTGCTTTCTGCTTTTTCTAAACATTAAACAGGAAGCATTCTCAGAAGTCACATTGTTACTTAAATTGTGATAACAAACCATATATGAAAATTTCATTTACCTTTATGTGCAATGTGAAATAAGTCCTCTTGCATTTTAGTAAATTCTGATGATGTTTCAGAGCCATCTGAGTAAGTTTTCTCCTCTACAAAATCTATTGTAGATAGGTTAGGATTGGAAGCATGCAGTCTCATAGGAGCAGAAAATAGTGAAGGCACCTGTAAGGAGGATAGCCACTTGTGATGTTTTTACAAACTGTGAAGAAAATTTTATTTTGTGGTACTCACCTGGGTTACATGTTAGAGACACTAAAAATGGAAAAACTACTGTCAATTACCAATAGGCTTTGAATGGATGACACCTGGCAAATGAAACCATAGATATAACTTTGCTTAAGATATTATAATTGGAGATTTGGCAAAACTCTGGGAAACAAGCCCATTGAGAGCTATAGCATATGCTATACTATTTTTCCCCACTTATAAGTATCTAATCACATGGCCTCTGGAGGCAAATGTGTACAAAACTAACCTGGAGAATCTGCAAAAATCTGTACTGATAAAAAAAACCCACCACCACAACCCACCAAATTGGAGGCATATTGAAAGCATGGGTAAAAATCATGGCCAGTCTCCTGAAGGACACAGCACAGATCCTATTGCAGATATCAATGACAACATATTTGTGTTGCGTCTGATCTATATTGCCACTTTAAATGAGCTAGAACAGGACACTACTTAGAAAGGATTCATATTTCCTAAACTGGTCACACCAAGAAGTGATCAAAAACTAAGATTTGGAGAAAGATGGGCACTGAGAGGACTGAAGTTACCTGTAACATTCCTTTAGCCTCTTTCCCGACAACTCTGGATCGCCATCTCCTGTGTGTTCTCTTTTCCTTCTTTGGGCTTTCAAAAGGTCCAACCTTTTAACAACATACAGGACAAAAATAATACAGATCACCATAAAACTAGCAGAGCTAAGAAGAAATACCTTGATCCTTTAGGATTTGGGGTTGGTTTTGGAATTGCAAGGGAAAACTTTTTTTTGGTTTTGTCTTTTGAACAACAAACCTGCATAGCATTTATAGCAGGTGCTGAATATGTCCTGTGAAGAACATCCATGCTCTGTAACAGCTGGTTCATTTCCAGTAAATATGTGTGACAGCTGGAGAGGTCTGTTTTGAACAAGAGAATATTTTCAGTTGCCCTGGAGTAATAGACACACTGAAAGTTTTTTTCTTTGTAGGTTAGTCTTATTTTGATAGTAGCTAGCTTAAGATATTTATTGACTAAAAGCACATTATTAGATGACTGGATAAAAAGCTTGTATCCTTCCATCTTCAAGTTCAAATTCAGAAAACTGAGATGCATCTATATGGTGTTTATAATGATCATGATATTTTATCCTAACTGGTTGCAGAAAAATTAGAATAATGTGATAATTACTGCAGTTTGGGACTAGTCAGAGCTCCTCATTGTGAGGGTAACAATGCCATAGGCATCAAGACTGAATTGTACATTCAGAACTAGAGATGAGGCTCCTCTATATTAGAGCTGAAGCTCACTGGTAGGTAGAACTTTACCAAATAAGTATCACACAGACACTACCAATGTGAGAAAGATCTTCATGTTCTTAGGGAAGCATGAAAGCAGAAGGTGACTTTGAAGTACAAAGACTTAGTGCTTTTTAAATTACTAGATTTGGATGCTTCCCTTTTTTTGAATACCCAGCTTAAGAAAGTCCAAAACTTACTACTGAAGGTGATGCTCATATATAAAAGGCAATGAAATATACAGGTTCCTTGAAGAGGTGCCCTCAAATGATACTCCCACATGCAAAATCACTGGTCATTTTGAAAATGAGTAGCCACTTAATCAACAACCATCCCCTTGCTCCCTCCAGTTTCAGAGAAAACTCTAACTAATGACTACTTACAGTGTAGCACTATCAATAAACATTACCAATAAACACTAGGGGAAATATTAGGCTACTTTCAACTTCCTTCAAATATTGTTACCTCTTGAGCATTTTTCCATGTCTTCAGAAGACTGTAGCCAAGATGAAATCCTGGACTCGTTACTCGAAAAGGAAAACGGTAAGTTACCTCCAGCTGACAACGAATTCTGTTTGGTCAAGCTGTTTGCCTGTTCCAAAGAACAGATGAATTAATAACAAATGTTGTATGCACAAATTTGCACAACCTACAGTTGAGGTCCATAACCAGGGACAAGGACTGAAGGCATCAATAACATGGAGGAAAAAAAGTGTATGAACTAGACTAGGTGTCCAGTCATTGAGCATAATGTCAGGACATCTAACATAACTGCTGTCCACAAGCAGTGGAAATACTAAAGGAACCATCAGAATTTGCTGAAAACTAAATTTTGAGGAAGGCAAAGTTAAGTCAACTTATTACTATTAAAGCACCATATCTGAATGGGACCAGAGTTGGACATGCTGTTCCTTCTCCATGCTCCCCAAAAGTAACTTAAATGTAACATGCACATATTGTTAAAGCTATTTTCCAGTGAAGAAAGCAAGACCTAATAGATGTTATTTAAAAAGTTTACTCAAGGTTGTATGACTTCAGCATGGATTTGTCTTGGCAGGTCTTGATACACATGTGACCATACACCTCATCTGGGTAAATACTACCCTTTCACAATGTCTCAGTAACCATTTTCAATCTAATTTTCAGCAGTGCCCACTATCAGATGCTTCAGGAGGGGCTGGAAATTCTGTGTAAGAGCTAACTGAGCAGTACAATTAACTAGTTTCCAATGGGAAGAAGTTTCTGCCCAGTACTGTTACCAGTTGGTTGTGGCCTATAATGCTGTTTTCTTCTCTAACATAACTACAAATAATAGCCATTCAAATCTCTAATTATCTTTAGACCTTACTAAATCTTTCATCTTCAATAATATGTGTTGCACAATTTACATGCTTTGTCAAAATCCTGTTTAAAATCAGTTTTAAAATGTTTCATCTTAAGTGCAATTACACGACCACTTTACTGGTTATGAGAAAAGCTGGCTAAATTGTTTGGCTCTTCTCTGAAGCATACACTTTACAAACTTCATTAGCTCCTGCTCACTTTATATCAAAACTCAGGTAGTACTCGTTTTAAATCTAATCTTAGGAACCATCGTTTACATTTCAGTCAACTGCAGTTTTCTGAGTTGGTCTTTTAAAATGTACAATATAAGCTCTAACTTGAGTTGCAGAGTAAAATAAAATGCATTATCCACATGATATCATTCAGTACTGTGTCAGTTTATGTAGTCAGTATGCAATAGTAGTAAGCATCAATAACCACATGTATTTTTAAATTAATGGATGTAGTTTAGCTGTTTTATTCCTGCATAAAGTTATATGATCTTTAGTCATCTATATTTGTATACCCAAACAGTAATTCCAGCACCTTTAAAAGCATAAGTAAACTAAATTTAAAGATGAGCAATTGTATTGGTATTTTGTAAACAAATCCCGTATTTATCTCTTCAGAAATCTATCTCTTATAACCAACTTTTCCAGAACTCATATACAGGAGAGGCATGAGCAGGAGGGAAGAAGGAAGTAGGTATTGCCAAGAAACAGGCAAGAGAGAGTTTGTGTAGCTCCAGTTAGCGTAGTTTTGCTTTTCATCAGCATGGCTATGCGTTAGATACCAAACATTCCACATAACCATATGTAGATACATACACCTATCTCACAACAACAAGAAAAAAAACAGATGTGAAAACCGATCAGGTGTTTCTAAAAGCAAATAAAATGCAATGCAAAGTTTATTTGATACATTTTTCTCAAAATAACCTAACTTCTGGATTGATATCAACTAGCACCAAGCTAGGGCTGGCGTAAATTGGGAAACTTCCACTTAGCTTCAGCAGAGCTAAGGTGATTAACTGAAGCTTAAAAACTATCCCCTTCTATTTTTCACATGAAAATAAGTAGGGCTTCTTTGCAGTGCAAATCTGGATTAATAAACTGGAAGTGAATTAAAGTATTTCATGCTGAAGAAGAAATGGTTCGTTTCCTGACAGTGAGCACAGATTTTAGATATGCTGGTCACAAAGATTTTTTTTTTTTTTTTTTTTTTTTTTTTTTTGAGTGCACAGGCACAGATATATCATGGGCTTTGCAACGTTCCACTTTTGCCCTCAATATCCTTCCCCGCTTCTATCCCTGCTGTCTTTTGGGAGAAAATGACTAAACAGCCACAGGAGATTTGCCATTTCTTTGCAGACAGCCTCAGAAGAGCAGGCTGTCAGAGCCACAGAGATACTGGCACCACAGAAAGCATGTAGACAGCTCTTTGCAGAATGGTCCCATTACTGCAGGGTGAGTTACTGTCCTTTCATCCACCTGCTAGCACACATCCCCTCCCTCCCAACCAGTAGCAAAAAGCTGTTCAGGCACATGTTTGTGTTTGATAAAACTCATACTCAGTTACAGTATAGTCCTACAAAGGTGATGAACTTCAAGTATTGGGGAACAAGCCCACTCAGATCACGCAGCAATATAGTCAGGGAAAAGAAAACCTTAGACAGGAGGATAACGAAGGGGTGATTGCTGCTTAGGAGACACTCTGGAGTTGATAGAAACAGGGAGCTGTTTCAGTTATAGTAAGTAACACAGCATTGCTAAAAAAGGCATTATTCTCAAAAGAGACCACTAGTTATAACTGGAACGGGAGATCTTCTTTGGGTGAACATCAGCCAGTCAACGTACAAGCTGCCGAAGGCACAGAGGTTATGTTCAGGCACAGAACACAGTCACTCTTCTCTGAGACTCCATCAAAGAGGTCAATTATGGTGCCAGACTGAGAGTTTGTCAGGTGTCGTGGTTTGAGCTCAGAGGGCCACTGAGCACCACAGAGCCGCTCACTCCTTCCCCCCCCCCCCCCCCCCCCCCAGCACTGAGAAGGAGAAAATAAGCAAAGGCTTGGGATTTGAGACAGGACAAGGAGGAATGAATCACCCATTACAGTCACAGGCAAAAGACACACTCATGAGGGGAAGAAAAAACCATAAATTTAATACAGACACTAACAACAACAACACTTAACAGAGTAGGACAGTGAGAAGCATCACCGCACCTTGAAAATACCTTCCCCCTCCCCTCCCTTCTTCCTGGCCTCAGCTTTGTTCCTGATAGCTATACCTCCTCCCCCAGCAGCACAGGGGACAGGGAATGGGGAGTGCAGTCAGTGCTGCCACTTCCTCCATCTTTGGGGGAGGAGCGGGGGAAGGAGCTTCTGGAACTTCTTCCAGCGTAGTCCCCCTCTCACAGGAGACAGTCCTCCACAAACGTTCTCTGACTTCAGTCCCTCCCATGGGCCATAACATTTCCCTAGCTGCTCCAGTGTGGGACATCAACTTTCTCCAACCTGAGTTCCTCCCACAGGCTACAGCATTTCCGGAGCTGCTCTGGTGTGGGACATCTCCACATGTTGCAGTCCTTCCAGTGCCAAACTACAACAGTGGGGGCTGCTTCTTCCCACAGAATCCTGGCTGCTTTCAGGTGCAACCACCTTAAATGGCCATGTGGCGCTTCCCATAGGCCATATATCAGTGTCTGCTCCACCATAGATCTCCATGGGTTGCAGGGGGGGCTGCCCTGCCGTCTCACCACAGGATACAGGGGGGTCTCTGCTCCAGCACATCTCCCCCCTTTCTTCCTCTGTTCCTCCACTGACCTTGGTGCTCACATAGATGTTGCAACTCCTCCTCATAAGTCCAACTTGTCCTCCCAGGTCCCTTCTCAAATACTTTATCACCACCATTGCTAATTGGCTTGGGCTTGGTGGAGAGGTGGGTCCAACTTGGAGCCAAGGGAACTTCAAGATCAGGAGCTTCTCACAGGGGGACACTGCTATAGCCCCCTCCCTTGCTACCCAAAAAACCCACCACTCACTCAAACCCAGGACATCAGGTCGTTTGTGAACCTAACAGTCACAGACTTTACCTAAAGAGAGTACACTGCTGACTAGACCCATCCACACCCAATCTAATCCAAGCATGGTCCTTGGATAGGTTTGAATAATGCTTCTATCTCCATTAAAAATATAAATAGCAACCACAGATGACAGCTCTTGGATAATTCCTATATACTCCTCAGGTAAGCACAGTCAGATTCATTAATGTAAAAGGGGAGATATTTTATTAGCTAAAGGATAAATTAAATACTAAAGGGAAAAAAATATATAGCTGAATGCTCTTGTGACCCAGACTAATATTCACCAACACATATCAGACAAATACTGATATATGTCTCAAAAATTATGAGGATTCTAACTCAATATGCAGTTTTAAAAGTCATCATGAAAATATAATTTACTGCAATAAAACAATGAGACAGTATTATAAAATTTAACAGCATCATAGAGAAAACTGTTTGGGGATAAATAAATAATACAATTTTCCTCTTGACATTTTAGATCATAACCTAAGCCCCACCATAAAATTCCATTACGATTTTTACTTAATAAACACAAATCAGACTAATTTAATTCCTGATGAAAGCTCATTATTTATAAGTCATAACTATTACCTTTCTACCAGGAGTGGAATCACAGAAACCAGGAACAGAGTCCGCAGTAGTAGACACAGGGAAGAAAAGATTATTGACGTCATGAGGAAACATGGAGATTTCATTTTGACGGTACATTCTGTGATGACGAAGTTTTGCTACCCATTCATCAAACAGCTCCTGAGATTTCACCTACAGAAAATGTCAGGTTTTGTAACATTCACATTCAAAATCACTATCAAAGAAACTAAGGTATTTTGTGCTCATTAGACAGCTAGTCTGGCTGGCCTTTATTGGCAACGTATCAGGAAAGTTTTTCTAATGATGCTCCTACTAAAATGCATACTGTATGAGGTTAAGCACGACAGGAAAGTAATCACAGGATAAAGTCAAGAAGAAGAGAAACTTCAGTTAGTATAATTATGACTTCCAATGCAGAGCACAATACTTCACTACTTCTAGATGGAAAAACCCCACAATATAAATTAAAAAAAAAATGTCATTTCTTAATTGCCATTTTTAATGTTTAGTCAAGGCTTAACTAACCACAAATAGACAAACAGAAATCTGACTTTGGCAATTCATTCCAGAAGGATAGATAAATCTAAACATTTGACCGTGGAAAATACTTTCTATGGATAAAACAAAGAGCAAGATACCACTACTGAAACTAAAAGCACTTGTGCATAAAGTGCATACCCTTTGCTGAATACAGTGCTAGTTGAAAGGAATGCAGCTAAACATGAGGCATCTTCAAAGGTTCTATTTAAAACAAGGTTACTGACTCTGGAACAGTACAATAAGGCCTCTCAAGTTATAAAGTGTAAACTAGTCTGTTGAGACTAGGAAGCTATTAGTATAACTAACAGACCTCCTACTATTGCCAAAAAAAAAAAAAAAAAAAAACAACCAACCAACCAAGTCTCCACCATACACAGATATTGTTGTTATTTTTGTTATTTTGGGAGCAAGGTTATAACAATCTTGAAGACCTACCTTCAGATGGTATATCTGCTCTTCTGTATCTAAATCTATACATTTTGTTGATTTCTTTACGGACATGACAGAAAGTCCAACATCAATACAGCCATGAAGCTTCCCTCTCTCTATCTACAAAAAAGTAAAAAGAATAGTCACTCCAGAATAAACCAAAAGGATAGATATTACCTGCTGAAACCATAATTTTCCCCCCTTCAACCTACTGTTTAGAACAGCTGAAACTATTTTCTATTGCCAACAATATGGAATTATTGTTATTTCAGACAAAATAGTGTTGTTACCGTATAATGGCCTTGAAGGGTTTCAGATCACTTACATCAGCTTGGCATTTAGAATACTTCAGAATCCCTCTGTCCAAAAAGAAGTATCTCTGTAACGAGAAATGCAGAGAATTAAAAACAAACAAACAAAACACCCAAAAAACCCCAAACAAAAAAACACCACAACCTCTTCCCATATTTCTCTGTAGAACACTTTCTCTGCTCTTAAGCAACCTTTTTGCCACAAAACCACACCAAGCAAATCCCACTCACATGGCATCAGGCTTTCAGATACACATTCCTTTCCTACCTTGTGCCAGCCCTTCAAAGGCCACTTCCTCTTTTTCAGCAAGCAGCCCTCCTGCTTCTGTGGCTCCTGGGTACAATTCATTGCCCCTCGGAGTCCTTCTACAATTTCCCAGCTGTCCTGCTTAAACAGAAAATCCAAATGTAGATCTTATTTCTTCCAAAGAACAGAATTGTTATGATACAAGAGGAAGAAGACTATAAGTAAAAAAAACAGAAACAAGTTATGTTGAAACCTTAGATCTGTCTTTTCAGTTTCTTATGTATCTTCCAAAATTCTGTTTTATTTTGATAGAAATAACACAAAATAAACAAAACACTATTTTTATGACACTATCCTTCATTGAAAGTAGGTGCTTACCAGAATTTTATATATATATTTTTCTGTACATACATACGCGCAGTGTACAGCGTATAGCCATAGCCTAGTCACAATTTAACATAAAAAAACCTTCTGACATCACAGGCAGAAACAGCCTCTGCTAAGAGGATACATATTTTGTAGGTTATGAAGCAGAAAAAGACACTGAAGACATTTTCTACAAAACTCTTTTGCTCCTATTCAGTGACTCAGGGTTTTGTGTTTGGTGTGAACTGTAGCCTCCCTAAAGTAAAAATAATAAAATATAAAAAAGTAAAATGAAAAAGCTAGGGAAGTAACTCAAGTACTATGAGGAACATGAAATAAAGGGAGAGAAAAAATACCCTTCATCACATACACCTCTAATTAAAAAAGGATCTCTCTTTTTTGCCATCAGGAACACTTAAATGAAAGACCCTGCTGCAACATAACAGAGAAGAGAATAAATGTAATCATATTTTTACAGTTCTTATTTATGGAATTACTGCTAATGACAATGTAGATGAGTTTCAATTTTTCTGATCAGAGATCTCATGCATTATTTATTGCCAGCTAGTATAGGATTTGACAGATCTAGAATTATGAACAACAGACAGGAAATGGCATGTGCTAGTACCACCCCCACATATTTGGAAAAGACAAAGAATGATTTAACATACAGAATTTAATGACACAAAGGACTAGTATGAAGCATTTCAGGGAAAATTGAACTATATCAGGCAGTTAAGTACTTGTCCTCCCTGTAAGATATGTGGGGAAGTATTCTCAAAAAGAACTTGACTGACTCAAACTTTCAACAAAAATCAAACAAAAATCAGCATGAGTGCTAGTTGTGCTCATTCATCCATCTCCAGAACCCTTAAAAATCACCCCTAGAAACCTAGAAAAAAAAATTACATCAGGTAATATGCTCATCACTTGAGTAACAAGGCATAATGGCAAACCACTTTCGAAAAGACATTTATTAAACAGCTTAAGGACTGTGATCTCTTATTCTGCCACATTACTGGCAGCACTCCACTATTTTACTGCTATTTTCCTTACACTGCACTTCACAGAACAAACTGGAAAGCTGCTCTGCTCCTCTGGTTTGAGTTCACTCTGCCAGCACTCACCACACAACAGGCTGCAAGCAGGAGAAATCTGAGGCTGAGCAGCTCCATTCAACATCCTACAGACCACCCAGTGATGTTCTGTCACCTGAAGGCAAGTCAAAACTGCACTTATCCTAACTGGAATTGTTATCACAGCACACATTTTGTGCCCCTACACGTTTGGGTTTTATCCTTGTCAGTTTTGTAACAAATAGCTTCTTTACTCCCTCCAGTTTGAGAGATATTTTGACAGCTACTTAGATACCATTATTTCTAACCAACGATCATTAAATCCCATTTTTCCTACTGAAAACCAGAAGTTACACTCCATATTATTTTTTTATTTTCGCTATTTTGGGACTCATTTAAAATACTCAATAATGATGAACCCTTTCCTGCTTTGAGGTAAAAAACTGTGGTATCAGAGGAGGTACTCACGGGTATCACGAGCTGGCGGGCTGCCTCCAGCCCAGCCGCAGCAGCCAGAGACCAACTGCACTGGTCGTTCACCCAGTGAAGCTGGCAGAGAATGCAGCAGAGAGACAGCCTGTGCCCGTGCTAGAGCTTGCTAGCTGTGGTTTGACAGCTATTCAAGTACAAAGGCAGCACATAAGCCCCTGCAATTAAGGGCTTTCCCCTCCGTCCCCACCTCGCCCCCTCCCTTTTCTTTTTTTTTTTTTTTGTACAGAACATTCCAATCTACACCTTTGAAAGCCAAAGAGAAATGATGTTCCACCATCTCCTTTGTGATAAACGTAAATATTAGGACACTAAATAATTTCTGTACTGGTCTTGGGACTTCTTTTTCCCATTAAAGATTAGTAACCCTTATATAACCACAAGAATTGGGAACGTTATGATGATAGCAGCCTCTATAGACAAATATAGTGTAACACTGCAATTTACATTAACAGCTGAACTTACTGCTGCTTAAATGCCCATGTGTGGATAAAAATCTCATCTCCTCAGAAAATATGATCTACTAAATGAGCCAATATAAAAAATAATCTTGACCTTAGCCAATTTCAAACTGGGGACTTGGATAAAGGTAAACATTTTAAAAAGTGAGAAACCTGACGGAACTAGGGAGAGATGATTCTAAATAAGGACTAACAGGAACATCTGCAAGATTAAGAAAAATGTTGTGTTTATTCTTTTGTTCCATTCTTCTTGAAATTAGCCAGAAGAGCTTAAAAGCTGTTTTTACTGATTACCAAGCAAGCTATCTCCCTTGCCTTCACTGAAATATATTAAGCTGCAGTACTCAAACACATAACTTTTCCCCTATGAATTAATCTGACAGCAGTCAAGACTAGTGATCAGTAGATCCTTTTCAACATTCTAGTGTTATATCTAATGAAACAACTTTATTGAACTTTGGATCAAGTTCTCACAGACTTTGGTTAAGCTTAAACACAGTATATGCTTGATATAGTGGTCTGCTTGCAGAAGACAAGCAGAAATTTGAGCACAATCAAGAAAAGCACATGAATCCAGATTCATCTTTCTATAAGGGTAATCTTAGAGAGAGAATCCTGAAGTGAGACAGACCCATGATACATTAGGCATGAGGTGACAATTACATCCACCTGGAACATACATGGTTGCAATAGTTTTCATCAAACTTTCAAATACAAAGAACATCCTGGCCTGCATTACAACTCCCATTTTGTCCGGGCCTCTCCTGCAGTCCAGACACAAGGTGTCTTCCGCATTCTTGCAGTAGAGTGACTTTTCTCATTGTTCTTCAGGTCAGTGAAGTAGCCAAGAATGCGACTTCACAATTAAAAAGTGTGAAAATGGGAAGAAAAGCTGAAGTGGGAGCACTTCTTCCCATCAAGTAGGCTCGATGGCCTGCCAAATCTCAGGTGGTGAAGGCAAGTCTCCTACTCACATTTCTGCCCTGGGAACCTCACATTTCAATTGCAAACTTTATGTAAAGGTAGCTTAGTTGAATTATAGATGGACCCTTTAAAAAGCACATGACTATTTAATCAACTAAATTACCCCAGGAAAGGCAAGGAATACCTCAGAGAATTAATAGTTTGGGGACCTTCTGGATACAGGCAAGATGCAATGCCGCAGTAACAGGTAACAGCATCTGGTCCTCTTCCACACACCTCCGTCCAGAAGAGTCCAACCTTTCCCACCTGAGCCACAAAGCTCCCACATTTTTCAAAACACTGCTGTTGCAGCCGACTGGCTTCGGATCCATTTTGTTCTTGACCTAGACCCTATGGGATCTTGATTGGTATTTTGTTTTGCAAGAGATCTGACACCTTATTTGATGAGGAAAAAGCATCAGTTGGCTATTGCTGGGAGCAGCTGCAGAAGCAAATGAAAACTGCTCACTCGCTAAAATGAAGGCAAATGAATTAGGCTGATCGGTTATCAACTGTTCTCATCTGTCTGAAATAGCAGAGGAGCAAATTGGAGATACAGGATTTCCTGAAAGCTACTGGAAGCATTCAGATTATGCTCCATTTTCCTGATCCTCATCCCACAACAGGGAACCAAAAGAGACACCTCAAACCATAGTGCTAAATTAAAAAAAACACACCACCACAACCCCCCTCACAAAGACAACCCTAAAACTCCCAGCTGAATGGCATTAACAATTCTAGCATAAGCCTAATGTCGATAGGTAGTGTCTTAAGGTTATGACACTACAAAAGGTTTTGTATCATTATGGGCCAGTATCTGCACAAAATGATCAACGCTGCATTTGCTGCCCAGGCAGACATTTCCCTTGAGGCTGAGGGAGGAACATACTCGTTACTTTTCTCAGGTCCAGAGGTGCTCATTTCAGATCAGCACTGGAGATCTGTAGCTACTACTCAGCTTATACCTGCTCTGTGGCTGAGAAAAAAAAAAAAAAAAACGCATTTTGGTCTTCAGAGATATGTCTGTTATTAGGTAACTGTAGTAATTTTCTGTATTTAATAAAATAAAAGCCTCCTAATTTTCTTCAATATTCTGTACCATACAGCTCCTCAAGGCAAATTATTTCAGGAGAAAGAATGAAGTAATGAGTTTGAATGGCTCTCAGACCAATGCTTGCACTTGCAGCTCCCTGAATGAAACAGATGACAGTGCCAGACTTTCTTCCAGTGTAAAATGTAGTCAGTTGTACCGAATATTTTAAAGTGCCAGAAATAGAAACCTGCTTTGTGGAGGATAAGGGTTGGCATCAGCTGCAACTAAAGCATTTGTTACAGTTCATAAAATTGGCAGAAATTATTTTATTTTCTTTTTTAGAACATGAGTTTTTTTAAGCAGCTCTTCTGACATAAAGCTTTTCCCTACCGAATCTATTTTAAAAGTTAGCTAAGGTCTTAGACTTAAAAATAACTACCACAATATATCTTCTTCTAATCACAGGTCAATTTAAATTTAAAGATCGAGAACAGTCTTCCTTCCTCACAAAACACAGTTTGAGTTGTGGCTTTGTGGAAGAGATTCCTTTCCACAACTGAAGGAGAGGGGCAGGAAAGAGCAGAGAGGTAGGATGCGGCAGTAGCCTCCAACCTGCTAAGGGGCTTCAAGGTGAAGGTGAACTTAGTGGAACGTAATTAACTGTAAGCACCTTCAGTTCACATGGCAAATGTGCTGCACCTGGCAGAAAAAGGGCACAGGAAGAAGCAGGCTTCTACAAGTCCTGTAGCCCTGCTTAAGTCAACTCTTTTTTGGCACAGTGGCCCACCTTCAGCATCACAGGATTCTACTTATGCTCTGCACCAGACACATGTTGGTCTATAGGGAACAACACCTAAATTTAAGCAGACACAGCAGCTTTGTACTACAGGGGTTCCATATCCCAATCTCAGGTAGCTTCTTATTATTTGATGCTAGTGTGGATCTGCAACAGAGCCTGCACCTAGGAAATCAGAGACACTCAAAACTCAGATCCCTCTCTTTTGGGGGGGAAAACCAAATGAATTGCCCAGGTCCCTTCCTCTGTGTTTTTCAGAATTTCTTTCTACTTAATTAGAATAAAAGAACTGCTGTGTCAGATCCACAGCACAGAGAAAAGCACCTGTCACGTAGATCTGTCATTAACCTGCAAGCAAGAAGTTTAGCTCTGAAGGTCCCCAAGAGAGGTGCAAGTGTTTGAAGGAGGAATAAGCAGCCCTCCATGGAACTGGAAGATGAAGGAAAGAATATAAAAATCATAGCTCTTCACTCCCCAATCTGCACAGCATATGGCAAAATTATTTAAACTTTCATGATACTATTAATAAAAAAGTATCAGTAACAGCATTACATTGCACTCTTCTACCAGGGCTTTGCAAAGAAAAAAAAAAAAAAAAAAATCTGTGGTACTTTTTAGATAAGGGCGTTTTTAACAGATTTATAGAACTTTAGATTGTTGCTGTTTTCTTAATAGAACACCCGAAGTGCTGTCATTTAAACTAAGATGCAGATGAAAAGGACAAATTAAGTAACACTCAGATGGCGGCATCACTCATTCTGTTTTGTCAGCCCTGAGTATGTGGATATTAGTAGGGATGGACTGCGGAGCTCCAATTTACCAATACAAGGGACTGAGTGAGAAAAGAAGCAATTAATGATATAAACAAAACTACTTCATCACGTGTGACAAGAAATCCTTTGTGGGAAGGGAAAGAAAGATTTGAACATCCTCACTGCACAGACCAACAATTTAGATTTTATATTATAAACTCTACTATACAGTTTATATCACTAAAAAGAGGGTCTATCTAGCAAAGTAAAGATCTTGATAATCTGAAAGACCAGAGCCTTTTGGGGAACAGGAACAGGGAGAAGATATTCCTTCTTCACCCAAAGCACTGCTCTGTCCAGGCCAGTAAATCTTGCAGATTATTGCCTCTGTTAGGCACAGAGCTCCATCTTTCTATATGCAGCACAGAAGAGTATATCTAACAAAACATTCACTGAAACATGCCACCATCAAAAACTATAATTAACAAATAAATTTTAAAAACACAAGGGAAAATGGCCCAAAGAAGTTATTTTCAAGTAAATATCCACAGTGCATACTGCACAGGATATTTAAATCTTTGTTTTTCCCAGCAAAACAGTTTGTTCTGTAAACTGCAAGATGACTTCAGTGTGAAAAAACAGTCACGTGAAAAGCACCAAAAACATCAGGGAATTAAGGAAGGAACATCAATACACAGCCATGTACATAAATAGTGACGGTGCTGAAAGAAACTGTAACTTAGAATTAATTTCTATTTTTTTTTCTTTCTAAACTGTGCTGCTTCAGAGGAAGAGCTCTAAATCACTTCAAAAGATGTAAACAAAGTTATAGGATAAGTTAGAAAGTTATTTCACTTGGTAAAGAAGGAAATAAAGTATTATAGCATTCCTTACAAATGTTAGAAGTTCCTATTTAAAACAAAAAATCATCATCAAGAGTACATGTAATTTCTGAAAAACATGTTTGTACATTTTCAGACCATATAGAAAAAACGAGCAAGCAGGAGATTTTAGCCCTGCATAGTGATCATTTTCCAGCATATAACAAGTCACAAACTCACCGACTTCGATATGCTTGCCTCTATCATTACCATCCCCTGAAAGCATGGACAATTAGTCAACCCATGTAGGTTCCCCAGATGCAAAAGTACACTGTTACTTACCTGGTATTGCAATGACCAACCATAAAAAGATTAATACTAACATGGTCTGAAGTAGAGACACTTATCACAATGCCCCATATTATCACACAGACACATCAACTGTATCACCCTTCAATACACATTGGGAAACAACCTATTTTATACCTCTGTTTCGCTTAAACCAAGAAGTGTAGGACGCAATTTACTATCAGCCCGAAATGAGCATGGATGTACCAGGAATACAAACAAAACTTCAAGCTGCATCTCTCACCTTGATCAGGTACACACTGCATTTCTGTACACGGCTCAAAGAGTAAAAAACTAGGGATTGACAAGATGACATTAAAACTTACTGAATTATTCCTTTTCTCCAAAGACAGCAGGTGAGAACAAAACAGGTAAGAAATGGGACCTGCTAACAGTCGTATCAAAAGCCTGAGCTAGCCAACAGATTTGATCATGTTAAATGGTAGTAAGTGAGGTTCTTGTAGAAATTGCCTCTGCATGAGTATGGTTTCTTATACCAGCTGTGCAACACACTGGTGGATCTAGTCACACTCATGTAAATCTTAATATTTAAATTATAACACTTGATACACATGAACTGTTGAAACAGACAATACCAAATGTTTTAAGTTACACTTTTTAAAGGTAACCTCATGCCAAGGATATAAAAAATAGTGTTGCAGGAAAACAAAAAAGGTATCCTGAAAGCAAGGATTTCTTTGCTCAGTGTACTAGAAATGTACACCATTTCTTACAAACACAGCACTTTAAGAGGCATCAACTGTTCAGAGATTTGTCTGCCTCGACAATTGTATGTACAGGGGCCAGAAGTCCCAGGAAAGCAGGTGCTATTTCAAAACACAGCTGAGGTCTCCAAAGCTTTTGGGGGACTGGGATGCTCAATTCCAATTAAATTTCAACCTGAGGCAGCTTCAAGTGCTCCACTAAGCCAGCATTTGTACAAATAAAAGTTTATGTTGAGCATATTGCTCATGACTTTGCAAGCACGGATTGAGCATGTTTAAGCTTAATTCTCACTGTGGCAGCAGGTCAACACTTCTTGCCAACAAACAAAAGCTGTCTTCAGCAGTGCCACTTGTCAGGTGCAAACACTCATAGATGTGTCTTTTAAAACTGTAAGGCTTAAAGAATAGCACAATGTCTGCAAAAAACAAAGCATCCTTTGGATTAGGCACCCAGATGCATAACATTACACAAATACTTATTTTCATAACTACAGTTCTACATCAACAACCAGCACACACAGCATTCACTGGCACTTCTTCATTGTCAGAGGCCCAAGTTTCAGAAAAATGTGTTCTCTTCCACACATGCATGCACACCTTTCCCTGGAAACTTGAAATAAGCAGAGCAGTTACACAATATTCTACCATAAAAGCGCTGACAGGGAAGATGTGAGTTTTCAGGATCAAACCACTGAGACCAAGCCACTACAGCAGCAATATTTCACTATAAATACACCAGACATACAGTGTGATAGAAATTCGAATTCACTGTTAGCATTTCAGTTCTACAAATGCTTGCTATTCAGCAATGTGTTTACTGCATTTGACCCAAAGCAAGATGCTGCTACCAGCAAAAAAAAAAGAGAGTAAAGAAAACAGAGAAGTGATGAAATAACACAAGGAAACATCGGGAAAACAGAGTTTAAGAGATCTGACAGTATTCAACAGCAAAAGTAACAGCCAATCTTAGTAATGCTTTCAGTTTGGTTAAAAAAGTTTGCATTACCTGTCGACTTCCTTGCTTCGAGGAGCAGCTGCTAGTACTTCTTGAAGGAGACAACATTTTCTGGGATACACCAAAGCTTTTTTCTTCACTCATGATCCAATACCATTTGTTTCACATAAGCTCACTTAGAACACCATTAAAAGGTAATTTAGAAAATGTGTTGGAAGACTCCTGGCAGAAACACAGAACTCCTTCTTTACCCAAATGAAGTCCAGTGGCATGACCTGCATCCCATGGAAATTCCTAAAAAGGACAAGAAAAACAAAAAGCAAAATTATCAGATGCCTTCTCTTACTGCCATCCTGTAGCATGAATCGTAATAACGCGTTTGGTAATACAAGGTGACTCCATCACTGTACATTAGCAGAAATTATTTCAACAATGACTTTAATATAAATTTTCAAGCCTCAAACAGTAGCAACATGAATTTTGGATCTTAAATGCATGCTTTACTTACCACTATTTATTCAGAGGACAAGGTACAGTATCAAACATCTTTTTCAAGATTTAAATTAATTTTAAAAAGGGTTACTAAAGACTCACATAGAGTATAATAAGTATCTAGATAAAACGGACCAAAACAACCTCAAAATGAGAACAAAGCATCTAATAAATTGTCTCACAAAAAATGATATGGTGAGTAATCAAAAAAATACCTCTTTTTCCCAGTTCCTTGATAATTTAAACAAGTAAGCATGGCTTCAGGTTGTAAGGATAAAAAAAAAACTATATAAAAGATAAATACATAAAAATAGAGAGCATGCAAACTCAGCTGCATAGACCTTTGCAAGACCACTCTTACCTGGAATCAGAAAGTTGTAACTATTGTCACATCAGTTGTCTCAGTCAGTGACTGGAAGAATAATTATCAGCCTGTTTAATAACAGTGCTATTTGCAGCATATGCAAATAAAAGCCATGCCAGAAACTCCCAATAATGGATTTCCAGTGTGGGCAAGAGTTGTCATGGTAACTGCATGTTTTTTTTTCAAAACCAAACAGAGGACATAACAAAAGGGTGATGCTTTCCAAAACTTGGGCTGGTGGAGGAGCTTTATAAACTGTGTATCACTTTAGATTTCATTGTCTCAGGCAAGGAATTTGCACACTAGGAAGAGTGCAAGAACCACCACTGGGGAAGGTAAGGAAGTTTCCACAAAGAAGAGAAATTTCACTGTGGAAACAGGGAGGCACTACTTCACAATCCTCTTGCTTGTGCTGTCAAAACACTTCTGAATTGAGATCACTGGTCATTGAAGTTTGCCGTTCATTTTTTCTTGAAGAGGCTTAAAAACCTATTCTAAGAGAAGCAGCACTTTCAGATCCCTAATAGAACACATTGTGTATTTTAAGAATTCATTTCCCTTTAAAAAAAAATCCAAGCCAAAAACCAGTCAGAAAAACCCCAAACAAAATAACAAATAAAAGCAGGTGCTGCATTTAAGATGAAGACAACACTATTCTGCAGAAAACCTCTCTCCCTACTGCCATAGTCTGAAGCATCCAACTTCTGAACAGAGACCTTTTCCAATCTACAGTGCCTCTTTGGCAATATTGTTTGCTATAACATTTCAACCAACGTGAACTCTTTTCACCTGAAACAAGGTCTCTCTTCATGGTATTTACCTTAACTAGTTAGAAATACTCAGTTACCCCCAGAGCATATCTATGCTCAGCAACAGTAATGAAACAAACAGCCCCAGTCTCCAAAAATCAGGTGAGAAAGCAAGCTCTCCTGGGGCTCTTTCACCAGTGAGTCAGCTTGGCAATTATTTCCAGGAACCATCATCATTAGACAGGTACAAAACCAGCGAGCACAACGCAAGAGCCAAAGAAAACCAGAACAGCACAGCAATGTGATATCAAGGTCTGAATTGGGCCTGGCACATGGGTTTTAGACTTAAATTACTACCTAGATTAGGAACAGTGCATTTTGGAGAAGGTGTAGTTGCTTCCTATCTGGAAGACAAATTTGTGTGGCATTTCATTAAGGACCAGCACTTTTAACGGGCCTAGATTTATCTCACTTCATGCAGGTTTTTTAACTGTGGCTTAAGTATAAAGCATAACTCTCTTGCTTAGTTTCAAGCTATATTTAGCAAAAGAATTTAATGATAAGATCTCTATTAACAAGCAGAGGGCAAATCTTCACGACAGAAACGGAAACATGCTTCCTGCAAGCTCATCATTCACGGATTCCCTTCAAAGTACCATGCAGCAAGGGCTTTCCTTCTTTGGCACACTGTTCGCTCGGATAACCGCCTGTCCTCTTCACTGCTCCATGTTCAAAACGAGCACTTTATCACTTGGCTTTCATTGGTGACTGACTGGCATGTTGGCAAAGACTCCCAGAGTTCACAGCAAGAAACAGGCTCTAATCTGCAGCAAACGCACTGACAGTTGTTGTCATCAGCACCTTTCAAGTATATCTCCAGGACGCATTAGATTTAAGTTATACAACACCCTTTGCCTGTTTGAACACACAGCACAATGGTTGTGATGTTCTGGAAGAGTCAGGTAACTGAAAAAAAACAGAGGTCTTACGGACTTTAACACAAAAAGAAGCCATATAATCAGAAGAGTATTTCTATCATCATGGTTTTGGTGCGAACTTTAAATGAAGGTAAGGTGTGGCTACATTATCCCTTTAGGACAGAGAAGAATTGCATTTCCACTGCAAATCTCCTGGTCCCCCCCTCTTGCCGCATTTAGGTTTGCACTGCAGGACAGTCTTGGAGCATGGAAACCAAATCCCTTTTGCATGAAATGTGCTCCAGGAGTGCATCCAGTGTTCAAAGAAAGTATTGGCTCCACAGCTCCAGACTAGAGCTAGTCCTGACTAGTCCCATCCTGGTATAGATGTTAGGTCATCACCTTTAACTGACTGACTACAAAGGTCCACTTTTACTGCATTGCTCTACTTGCTAACATTGGCGTCATCTAGACACAGACTTATGCCACCTAACTAAGTATTCAAGATCTTCTAGGACAACATAATTTGTCCTTTTGGAATCAAAAAGAGACACAAACAGGCACTTTTCCAGAATTCAAATGAGCTGAAGGTGACTCAGCCACCTAACCAGAGGTACTTAAATGAGGGGCAGAAGACAGGTAGAGTAAATCAGAGAGCACATGAAGTATTTTGTCAGTCTGCTTCCAAAACTTGGCTTTAGAATTTTCCTTTATTCCTTCAAATTAATTTACTACATGGGCTGAAGAAAAGGCTTTTGTTACCAGCACTGAAGAAAGCAGGAGTGAAATGTGCCTGCTCTCTGAAGTGTTTTATTATTATTTTATTTGTGTTTCCCAGTAATTTAATTTGTTACCTTGAGATTTCCAGATTTGAACATGAAAGTGTATGTGAATAATGAATGTGACCCCAACTCATCTGTAAAAACTGCTGCATGCTCCAGCAACTACTTTGTGCTCCTTTCTAAAAGTTCACTTCAAATTCAGGAATAAAAAAGAAAACCGCGGTTGCCCTTCAACAATAACCCACCTATTCTTCCAGGAAAGTGTGAAAATGCTGATCCTGCATCCCGAACTGAGTGTCACGTTTTGGCTGCCAGCAGCTGTGACTGGGCCTCTCTAGGGCAACTGACATTTTACATTACCTGTGGAACTTAAGGCTACCAGGTACAAGAGCAATTACAACTTTGAAACAGGCATAAAAATCAGTATTATGCTAACTAAGCTAAGATTGCAGCTGAATTTGATGTTTTGAGGTCATCATGACCCGAATGCTTCAGGTTCAATACATTTTGCTCCTCCCCATGCCATAGGACAGTCTCAACTGTGTTTGCTCCCACCTTTCCTCTGGAGCCCACAGTGCCACTCACTTTGGTCTACTCCAAAAAGACAAATCAAAGGTGTGAGGCTGAGGTAAATCCAAATAAAATTAGGACAGGAATTTTGACAAGTGCTTAGTATTGGCCTAATTCTTTGCTATCAAGTCAACAGCACCAAAAGTAGGTCAAGAATATTTTTCCAAATGACCTCGCTGGGTGCATTTTAAAGAATTAAGAATACATGAGTATCAGATATTATTTATAGCTACTATATCCTAAACCCATAAACAGCACTCATCTCTACTTATCATCTGTTAATAAGAGCCTTATCATTCTACATCAATTAAAGCTAACGTAAACGTATGATAATATGTACAACAGGAAGACCTATTTTTTTTTTTTTTTAAAAAAGTACCATCCGGAGTTGTCCTCAAACCTTTACAACTGTACACGTTCAAAGCAGCCTCAGTATCACAATTCATCTCTTGCAACTCTCAAAGTAATAAGCTTACAGCAAAATCCAAGTTTTTCCACATTGCACAAAAGAAGGCAGAAATTCAGAAAAAAAGGGAAAAACTGCAGTAAAGAAAAAAAAAAATCAACATTATGCAATTATTTTTGTCATGGCTCTGTAAGAAAAATAAAGCCTTAACAGCTGCTTCAGAGCTGATTCAGCAGTGGAAGAACACTGTAGAGAGATTTTGAGCAGCAAAACTGGAAGCATACATCTCGTTCTATAATTGTCATCAATTACGGTTTTGTGGCTAGAATAGGAACAGAAAGCCTGATAAAGTGTCACATGGACACAGCAAGCACAGGACTGAGCCATCCAAATCAGAGTTACAAGCAGCACTGAGTGACTTTCATGGAATTAAAAAAGAATCCGTGCTGAAACCTTTGCTCTGGAGTTATTATTATATTCCATTCACTCACATCCACCTGGATAAACAAAGCAATAGCCCTTTCCAAGTATTGCTTTCATGGCTTTCTCTGTTATACTTCAAATTGTCAGCTTTAATCTAACCCAGTGTCTCATCTGGCTCAAAAAAGGAAAGAATTATTTATAGACCACGGATATGCCATATACAACTATTAAAGATGTCTTTTCAAGGCAGGTATTTGCTGTTCCTGAATTACCATAAGATTCATACTCTACTGAAGGACAAAGCACACAACTACTTTCCTGTTGCTAGCTATTTTCTTTACAGAAGAAAACTTGTAGAACCAAGGATAAAATAGTTTAAAACAACTAAATTTATAAAACTATCTTTGAAGGCAAAAGTTCAAACAGTTTAGGGAGACTAACAATAACAGGGAGTATTTCAGAACTGCCCTTCCATTAGACAGGTGCTGTCTCTAGACATCGTCCAAATCACAACCTCTGTTGAGCAGTTGCTTTCATTAGCCATGGACACACACTACTCTATGAAGTAGTCCGTGATGCAAAGAAACAGTT